TGGACCTGTTACCCGAAGTAATGGTGTCCTCACCCTCCAATGGCTTATCCAAGAGACGACTAGACCAGACCGTCCTTACTACACAAATCTGAATCTGCAGGCGGTAAAGCTATAATTTTTGGACGACCTTTGAGCGACGGTAGATTGGTCTGGAGAGTGTCCACATAACTAGGATTACATGAGTGTTATAAGAATGTGTGAGGAGTTCGAATTATTTCATGGTTCAGGTTAGGAATTATACTTAGGGTTTTCACCACAAACTGACATCAGCTATATTGCCAAAACTCTATTTATCCAAGTGGGTGAGTGAATTACGAGCCGAAATTCAAAACCTATTTTATTATACCTGATGGGTTCGTCCATATATTATAGTCATATGAATTCCGGATGATGTTGACAATCTTCTCAGCTACACCACAGTGTCGAGAGAGGTTCCATGAGGTTCTTCGATCCACGCTGTCAAACGCCTTCTCATAGTCAATGAAGTTCAAATGGTTCAAATGGTTGAGGACGGAATAGAAGAAGCTTTCGCTTAACGGGCTTCCGTGTCTGGTAGCAGTGGATCACCAATACCTCCAGGCAAGAACCTAGGTATATGAACGATAATAGAGGGAAAAAAAGAATTTGGTAAATCATAATAATATGTTATCCTTAGTCCTTAAGAATAAGTCAAGTTTTCTCTTAAAGGACTCCTGGGAGGTCGCTTGGACTAGCTCAGTCGGCAGCGAATTCCAGCACTTGACAACTCTAACGGAGTAGAAGTTGTGTCTGCAGTCTGTTCTGCTATGTAGGGTCTCCAATTTCTGGGTGTTACCTCTGAGGTTAGTGTTATGACTAAGCTTAAGAATTTGTTTGAGGGGATGACCAGAAGTATTAAGGATACTATAAGTCATAAGAAGATCACCTCTAAGACGCCTATACTCTAACGGGTAAAGGTTAAGTGATTTGAGGCGCTCTTCATAAGGTTTGAATTTGAGACCCCGAACTGATTTCGTGGCTCGACGTTGTATACGTTCCAGAGTGACCTTATCCTTTTGAAGGGAGGGAGGAAATACTATGTTTCCGTATTCTAAGTGGGGACGAATAAAACTGTTGAAGATTATGTGGAAGGTTCTACCGTCAAACTGGCCAAAAATGCGCTTCAATGTTACCAGTGCGAGGTTTGCTTGAGAGGCGTTTTTGTCACAGTTCGCATACGATTTCAGGTCGTAGGGTACCAACACTCCTAAATCTTTTTCAACTTGGGAAGCTTCTAGAGGTGAGTTACCTAAGTTATAACTATAGTCTGCAACATGTCTCAGATGGACTACCTTGCACTTTGAAGTGTTGAAGGTAAGTCCGTTGTCGTCTGCCCAACTTTGAAGTCGAGTCAGATCCTCCTGAAGAACTAGTATATCATTGTGAGTACGTATCTCTCTCCAAAATTTCACATCATCAGCAAAAAGCAATAAATCAGATGAAACTTGTTGAGGAAGATCGTTAATATAAATCAAGAAGAGAAGAGGTCCTAGTATTGAACCCTGGGGGACCCCACTAGGACATTCCATAGCCTGAGAGAGAGTGAAGTTAACCCTGACCTTAAAATGTCGGTTTTCTAGGTATGAAGTGATCCAGACAATTAAAGGGGGTTTTATACCCAATCGTCCAAGCTTCTTGATAAGACATGCATGGTTGACCCTATCAAAAGCTTTTGAGAAGTCCAGGTAAATGACGTCAACCTTCCCCTTGCGATCAAGGATGGTTGTCCATTTATCCACCGCAGTCAGCAGGTTGGTCGTACAAGAATGACTTTTTCTGAAACCATGCTGTTGAGGCGAGAAGAACTTTGAGGATGATAAGTGTTCTAGTATGCCGTCGAATACTAGGGATTCCATAATTTTTAAAAATATGGAGAAAAGGGTCACTGGTCGGTAGCTTGAGGGTTCACTGCGTCGACCTCCTTTGAAAATTGGTGTGATGTGGGCCAGCTTCCATATTTCCGGTAGTTTGCCTCTGCTTAGTGAGTGTGCAAACATCACGCTAAGTGGTGTCGCCAGGATTGAAGCTGCTTCCCTCAATACGGCGGAATGAATAGTGATGAATAGTGACAAGTTCCATCCCATTGATTGTTCAACGACGGTCCGTAGTGTCGCGATTTGGTCTGTGCACGACTGACACTTACACAATCCGTTTTGTTGATCCCAAAGTTGGGCGTCCACTGAATATTTCATTCGATTGAACAACACTCTTTTGAAAACCTTTCCCGGTACCGATTGTAGTGTGATGTCTCTGCAGTTCTCACATTTGTTCAGATCTCCTCTCTTTGATATCTTCATTCCAGTCTGTCGGAACTTGTCCGTCTGTAGTGTCGGTTGCTATGCTAAGCCCACATAGCTTATTCTAGCTTCAGAACAGGTCAATTTATCCATTTTTCTGGAGTCACATTTTAACCTTGCTATTTATTCACTTGTCAACCTTGACTGCTTTTATGTAAGCATATGGGTGTGTATTTCTCATCTTACCACATTTCTGTAACTTATTTTTGTTCGACTATAAGTATCGATCCACACTTAACTAATTTGAGTTGGCTCACTCGCCTTTTCCATTGTTTCATTTCGTTTTGCTTCGCTTCCCGATCAACGATTGTATGAAATATACTCACTAAAACTTCATTTTCGTATTTGACCTATTTAATTCCATTATTCACTGACGTGATTTAAGTCGATAATTATATACGAGGATTGACGATACGTATATTTCAATAGCAATCACTCATACGGTCCAAATGTAGTCAGACATCGAGCCACTAAACATCCTCCCAAATATTCCTGAATAGAACGTGGAGCACATTCGCTGTTGCTCCTATGTCTGACTTCAGTGCTTCAGTTGGTATTTTATCAGCTCCTGATGCTTCCACACTCTTGACTTGTCTGGTGGCCATCCTGATTTCTTCGATCGTTGGTGGAGTGACATTAATGGGAAGGTCTGTATGTGCTGCTTCGATATCCCGTGGATTCACTGGAGCTGGCCTATTCAAGAGTTCCCTAAAGTGTTCCACCTATCTGTTCTTGAATTTCAGTGATTGGCTTGCCTTGTTCGCCCTTGATCGGTCTCTATGGTTCACTATATTTCCCTCCCAGTTTCCTTGTTGCGTCAAGTAGTTGTCTCATATTTCCTTCTCTTTCAGCTTTATCCTCTATCCTTGCTAGGTCTTTGTGGTGTTTATATGAATCAGTGATTTCTTTGTATTGATGACTGTTTTGATTTTGAATTCCAAATACAGTACATTCGTTAATGCTCATCTAATACTTCTTGATTAAATTGCGTTATTTCGGGGAATACTAGTTTATACTATAATTCAAATACTCTTAAACATCACAGTCTTCCACGTATTTCTGCTTGTCGGCTTTAATGCTCCTCTTCACTTGCTTGTTTGCTTCAGTGTATTCAGCTTGTGCCTTGACGTTCTCTGTTCTTGTTCGACTGCCATGAATTGCTGTCTTCTTGTTCTTCCCTTCTCAAATACTGCCCGAAGTTTCGATAGATGTCCAGTCCTTATGATGATGCTTCCTGCGGCTCAGAACCTTTTGACATGTTGAAGATAGTGCTTCTTTGATCTCTTTCCAGTTATTCCTCATAATAGTTTCTTCTTCGTTGGGTAGATCTTACAAGACTTGGAATCCGTTGTTGAGAGTTATTTCGAATTCGTTGAGTTTGACAGTACTTCAAAGGAAGTCTGTGTTGAACCTTTGTACTACTGTTTCTCCAGTTGTCCAGTGTTTCTCTAGCTTCAGTTTTATTTTGGCCACAACCAAGTGGTGGTGACTTAGAGCTATGTCAGCTCCTCTCCTGCCTTTCACGTCCTGCACTGAACTTCCGAAACCCTTAATGATGCAAATATGATCGATCTGATTCTCTGTAGTGTGGTCCGATGAGACCCATGTAGCCTTGTGTATGCGCTTGTTGAGGGGGCATACAGCCACCTATAACTATTTTGTTGAAGGCACATAAATTTACAAATCGCTCACTATTTTCCCTCCTTTCTCCCAGTCCATGTCGTCCCATGATATGTTTATTATACCCGATGTCGTCTCTCCGACTTTGGCGTTTAAGTCTCCCTTCAGTATGGTCAGGTCCTTTCTTGGGCACTTCTCTGCGATTGATTGCAGCCTCTCATAGAACTGGTATTTATCGTCGTCACTGTTATTATTGCTGAGGGCATAGCACTGAATAACATTCATCGTGATCCCCTCCTTCTTTGTTTTAAATGATGCTTTGATGATCCTGGACCCATGAGATTCACATCCTATAAGTGCACTTTGTGCTTCTTTGAACAGCATCACAACAACTCCCTGAGTGTGTGGATCATTTACCTCTTTGTGACCAGAGAACAACAGCATCTCTCCTGAATTTTAACTTTTCAGTCCAGCTTGGGTCCAATCGATTTCACATATTCCGAGCACCGTCAAGTTATATCTCCTGATTTCCGCAACTATTCAATTGGTCCTCCCAATCTCTCACATTGTCCAGACATCCCGTGTACCCATATTAATTGTTGCCCTAATTGTTAGAAGCGGGGAATCGGTCTCGTACCTTCTGAAGAATCTCGGATTTCACCATGAGGCTCCACAATTCTTCTGAATGAAGATCATCCAATTCTCAGGGCAGAGTTTAAATGGTTCACTTTGTTTATTCTGGTTAGGGTTTTTTAGCAAGGTTGTTTTCTACGGGGTGGGAATGCTGACCTCATGCCCAACCCTCTCTCTTTACCCGGGCTTCAGACCGGCAATAAACTTAGAAGAGCTACAGGCGGTGCACGGTTACCCAATGCCACCATATAGTTAGACCGATCCGGGAGAACCATAGTCTGATATAATGACAGTGAAAATTTGTTCATCAAACAGAAAATATCATCAAACTACGATTTTGACAGAAGATAACATTTATTTAAACGTATATTTCGTTCTAAAATAAATAATTTATGTACAAAAATTATCTTCAATAAGATTTCTTTTTTTGGGTCACATGAAAAGTCCACAACGCGACTCTAGCAAACACCTTTCTAGAAAAACAGCAGGTGAAATACCACAAGCCCCAGCAGTTAGCTGACAAGAAAGGCCCAAAGACTTAGTTGTCGGACAAGAGTTTTCCACCTTTAAAGCACTGATTTTAATATCGGTATGGTTACTGTCATCACTATCGTACTCTTTTTTCACATCATCACTTAGGAAACTTTCTTCTGTCTTGTAATTTGCTTTAATATCAACAGCAGTTCTGCCACAATCTGCATCGTTAAATTCCCCTTCTGTTTCTGATTTAGGCTTGGTTTCGGAAGTATTTGCTGGTGTTTGTGCTTGATGGTTGAGTTTGACAATTACAGTTTTTTCATATATTTGAAGAACATCAATCCAACGAATATGCCGATTACTTGAAAGTGGTGGCATAGGACCACACAATTCGACTACATAAGGTTCATATACAAACTGAAGTGGTGATGTATGGTTTTTTGCGTTATGACTCTAAAAAACGTGATAAAACTAAATAAGCATTTTAGTAATAAAAAGTAGTGGCAATTAAAAAACGGTTGTGTAGGAAAATAGAAAGTAGTCTAGGAATTTTTATGTGTCTTTCTAGAAAATCTTACCAATAAAGAAACACATCTGAATGAACACAACGAAATACATTCCTTTGGAAACATATTTAGTAATCAGATGGTTGGAACTAGCTGAAAAATCTTAGGTAGTTAAGAGCTAAACAGTAAGCTGTTTTTAAATAACTTATTTATCAGGTGACTTTTTATGTATATGGCTTTGAGCTACACTTTATTGTGCAGAAGCGAGTGATATTAACCAGATGCCCCCAGGAGTAGACTGTAGCACGGCAGTGGAAGATTAGATAATTTATTTAACTTTAAAATATTAGGTTACAAGTTTCGACAAACGACTCATCCGTGTCAGGATTCCATCATATACCTGTAGTGGCTTGGCTCCGTTGATCAGTAACCTTGATAACCGTTATCATCTAAATCCCAACGGTGTTTAAATTCAGAAGGTAATAAAAAGCGGCGACTACAGTTTGTAAGCGGATAGCACAGATAACAAAGCTACAAACACATCGAGCGAATTCGAAACAGAGAGGCGAGTGTATATAGAGGCTCATCGAGCGATATTTAAGATATTAACATTTTAGCTAGAGAGATATGTGTGTAGGCTGTAACATGTGATCAAGCATACACGCTTATACAGACAAGATAGTAGTCATAAAAGTACAGAGAAATAGACGGATTGCTACTGTTCCAACAACACTGTCTGCAAATAAGTTAATAAAAGGGCTCGACAAAATTACTTACTTACCCCTGTGACCCCTCGTGGAGGGGCATAGACCATCCACCAGCATTCTCCATCCAACCCTGTCCTGGGCAATCTTTTCTAGTTCTTTCCAGTTAACATTTATCCTTTTCATATCTGCTTCTATTTCCCGGGGTAATGTGTTTTTGGCCTTCCTCTTTTTCGCTTCCTTTCCGGATTCCAAGTTAGGAATTGCCTCGTGGATGCAGTTTGGTGATTTCCTTAATGTATGTTCTATCCACTTCCAACGTCTTTTCCTAATTTCCTCTCCAGTTGGAAGCTGGTTTGTCTTCTAAAATAAAACTGTTGCTGATAGTATCCGGCCAGTGAATGTTGAGTATTTCACGTAAACAACTGTTCATAAACACTTATACCTTCTTGACGATGGATGTAGTAGTTCTCCACGTTTTAGCTCCGTACAGTAGCACTGTCTTGAAGATTCTCACTTTGAAGTTAGTTGACAGTTGTTTTGAGTTCCGTGTGTTCTTCAATTGTAGAAATGCTGCTCTTGCTTTGCCAATCCTCGCCTTAACATCTGCATCCGATCCCCCTTGTTTATCAATGATGCTTTTCAGGTACGTAAATGTTTCCACCTCTTCCAGAGTTTCACCATCAAAGGTGATTGGGTTGGTGTTCTCCGTGTTGTATTTGAGAATCTTGCTTTTTTATTTGTGTATGTTGAGGCCTATTGATGCAGAGGCTGCTGCTACATTTGCTGTCTTCGTCTGTATTTGTTCGTGTGTATGAGATAGGAGGGTTAGGTCATCTGAGAAGTCCAAATCGTCTAATTGGTTCTGAGATGTCCATTGTATTTCGTGCTTCCCCTCAGATGTCGAAGTCTTCATAATCCAGTCAATCAGAAGAAGAAAGAGGAATGGGGAGAGTAGACAGCCTTGTCTGACTCCGGTCCTTACTGGAAATGCATCTGTCAGCTGTCCTCCATGCACGACTTTGCACTGTAGTCCGTCGTATGAGTTCTGGATAATGTTGACAATCTCCTGAGGAACTCCATAGTGTCGAAGAAGTTTCCATAATATTCTCCGGTCCATATTGTCAAATGCCTTCTCATAGTCAACGACGACAAAATTAACCGTAATCAAAATTGATTGTAGAAGAGTTGTTATATACCAAATAAGTGTTAGTGATAAGTCATCTGCCAGGGAAGTCTTACTCACTGCCTTCTCGTGGTATTACTGTTGTTTACGAAAGTGAGAGGGCGAAAAGCGAATGTCCGCCGCCTTAACCGGGCCGGTGGACACGGAAAGTTCACCTAGGGGAGTTGGAAAGCCCTCATTCCAAACAATTGGTGCACATAGACTCCAGTATCCTGAGGGAACAAATGGCGTATGAACCAATCGTTGGTCACCGGCTACCATGGGACTGCATCTCCTCACGATGCCCCACTGCCTTGTGGATCAGATCTTTAGGTCAGAGGCTTCGGGTGTGGTCCCCTAAGGGGACCACCTGCCTCAGTTTGGGCACCCGGGCAGTATCACAACCCTCACACAAATCAAATGAGATTCATGTGGCACATATATATCTGGTGCCTCTTTGTACCAATATTTATGTTTAAATAAATAAAGAAATATAAATAAACCAGAGGATTGCATTTTGTTAAAACATCCACCAAACAAAACTATCTCATCTGTGCATCTAATTAGATAAGCAAATCTCCTGGATGGGCAGTCTCATTAGGACAGCAGGATCATATTGACAAAATGGATAACAAGGTGATTGAAATAATGGTTTGCTGATAGACAGGAACATTAAACATTGAAAACATGAATTGGAAAGGTATTTACAAGGGAATAGTAAGACTCAAGATTAAGGGGAAAATGAATTTGAACTAGTCTGACTGATTATGAGCCATATAACTCTAAGAATGTGAGTCGGTAAACTGTGTATTAAATAGCTAATAAATCTTCAAGTGCATGATAGTTTGTCCTAGTTTTGAAAATGCTTCTAACACTTAGTTTCCCCCTGTTTAGACAGACTATTTCACTAATATTCCCCTTCATTCAGTAAAGTCATTCTAAACCCAAGATTTGTTGGTTGAGAATCGAATGTTGTAACCAATAATTATTCTCTCTAAATCGGATATATATACTTAGAGAAACAACATAGATGAATTTCGAAATCTATATCACAACAAAACCAAACGTACTGTGTTTTGACTAGGAATCAAAACAGTGTCCTGTTGTTTCCGAAGCGAAGCTGTGGGAGGAAGATGTATCATGTGGTGTGTTCCACTGATCCAGTTGTTTGAGAGACTACCGGTGGGCGGAGCTACAGGAAGCATGGAAGGTGGAGCCATAAAACCGCTCACAGGAGTGACTATTGGACGTACTGGGAACGCAGAGCTGGGTGCATGCCCCAGAGCCTGTGTAGGTGGTGGTATGTATGAAGGAGGGGCGTACACTGATGGTGGGATAAATGTCGCAGGAGCTCGACGTCCAAAAGCTGAGGTAGGTGGAATCAGCATATTTGTTCGGGGTGTTGGGGGAATATTGTTCTTCCGTCTTTCTCCTTCAGATTCAGTTGTCATTGGACCATTAGGATCATCAGAACCACGGGTATTTTCTAATCCTTTTAGAGTTCCGCCTTCCTCTTCTTCCTCACGTTCTCGCTTTTCCCTCAAAATAGATTCACGTTCTAACTCAGAATCGTAAAATGCCATTGAAGAGGACTGTGAAGGAAAATGAAGGGAAAGATTTATTTGCAAAACAGTTACCTTCGGAATTACATTTCTAAATTGAGTCACTTCGAACTATTCTTTAATACGATGATTAACAACCAACAGAACATACAGTCAGGAGTTCAATCCATTTTTTATATTGGTAGTTTGAATCTTCCCATTGATGTATTGGACTACAACCGACCAGTCTCTGAATACAGTAGCTAAGACGATAACGCGATGGCGTTTGAAACGAACGGTACTGGGTTCGAGTTCCGGGGTGCGCATTAACTATGGGATGCAGGTACATCCATCTGATGAGTCCCAAATAGAATAAAGCGTGTGTCCTGGATCCCACTGCTAGCTACCACTCACTTCTGCTTGTAATACAGTCAGGAGGTAGTGACTACACTATTAGGACTCATAAGTTTTACTCTAGTTTAAATGCATTTGACACAGGAAGTACAGTTTCTCTGAGTCTGTAAAGCACTTTATTTCGACGTGACCCGGAAACAAATAGGAAGCCATATTTTTTAGCTCCTCGGTACCGAATAAAATGTAAGTGCTGATTTTACCAAAATCACTGACAACCCAGTTTGATAAATGTCCAAGTAATAAAGTACTTAAGATATCAAAGATACTAGTCATTATTTTCCTTCACAACATTACTGTTCTGTTCATATTAGATTAGAACAAACCAATACACACCGTATCGGTATACAGTATACTCTTGCAACCCATTACCTTGACACATGCAAAAATCACTATCAATGTATCTCACAAAAGTAAGAGTAAACAACATACTTGGAATGTTAAAAAGGTATCACTGATTGCCATGGAATAAAACGAATCTTTTAAATATCAAAACAAATGTTCCTCTAAGTAACTTTTTCAAACGCTTTCGTTTAATCTAAATGTTTATTATCCACGCAGATTCTGGTACAATTAGGAAACAAAACCAATGTCTCATACAAATGAAGGGATGTTATTAAAAAATAAATGAAGGAATGAATGAATATATGGTCAATGGGTAAATTAACAAGAACGGTTTTTAAAAAGAGATATGATTCAGTTGAAAATATGCTTAAGAGTAACTTCTTTCAGTTAAGGGAAATTTATATATATACTTATTATTATTATTATTATTATTATTATTATTAGTGGCTTTATTCAATATTATAATCTGGTACAATATAGAATTCTCAGCACGAGTTATTTCAACAAGTTTTTTACCAAAAAAGAAAACCCGAAAAAACAAAAAAAAAAAAACAGAAATAAAATTTAAAAAAAAGGTCTAGGAAAACCGACTTTATACAAATTATCGAATTTGAGACATGCTTAAGAAGACAGGTTATTTACTAGGTCAACTCTAACAGCCTGTTCGTCACAAAGTAAATTTGCTAAGTATGGTATTACAGAACTTTTATAGATTTGCTTGCGTGCATGGATTTTAATGTATTTACGTCTCGTTCTACCAGAAGATATACAAGGAGAAAGATATGAATAAAGCGGATGGTTAGTATCTGATAAGATAACACCTGCCAAGAGTTTGCAAGACTTAAGATGTCTATCCACAAGCATATTAACAATGACTTCAAAAGATTCACCACATACCTTGCAAACCGCCTTCAGCATTCTACGCAAAATAGCAAAGTCTTTTCTCAAAAGCCTAGGAAAGAATAATGGAGAACAATATAAAATATTAGGTAATATGCAGGAATTTACAAATTGTAAGAGTAAATGGCGAGTAATCCCAAAAGCATGCAGCCTCTTTATGTAGTATGTCAAGCGGTAAACTTTTTTCGATAATAGTAAAACATGAGAAGACCAAGAAAGATCAGAGGAAAAAGTAACACCAAGATATTTGACCCTCGACACTGTGTTTATTAAGGAGTCTCCAATGGCACAAGCATTATGGGATCCCAACATAGAGTATAGGTTCTGTCCATGTCTCAAGCTAAAATTAACAGCTTGACATTTAGATGGATTGAGTAAGAGACCATTACCAACAGACCACCTTTCAATACGAGATAAAAACTCATTCATTTCTATAGGATGTAAGGAGGTAGAAATTGGCATACATACAGTGAGGTCGTCCGCATATTTTACAAAAGTGTTTTCTGTGGAAGATGGCAGATCATGCAAAAAGAAAGAGAAGAGCAGAGGTGAAAGAACAGCTCCTTGTGGCACACCTACAGTAGACAGTAGAGATGTTGAACACTTTCTTTCAAATACAGTGTACTGTTCTCTTCCAGAAAGGTAGGAGCGTAGCCAATTGGTTATCCAGCTGTCAGTGTCGATGCGAATCAGCTTGTTAAGTAAGAGGTTTCTTGGAATGGAATCAAAAGCAGAAGTAAAGTCCAGAAAAGCGCATCTAACATACTTCTTACCCTTTTCCAACCCGAACACTATATTGTGATGCAGAACAGCAACGGCATCTAATGTGCTTCTTTTGCATTTGTAAGCAAACTGAAATGGATCACAGTACTCTTTTATTGAAGGTTGAAGTGGTTGTATCAGTAATTTTTCCATTATTTTGAGGAAAGGTGAGGTTATTGCAATGGGTCTAAGTTTCGCATTTTTATCACCAGAAGCTTTCTTAGGTATAGGGATTATCTTTATCTTTCTCCACATTTTCGGTAAGACATTAGTTGAGAAGGATCTGTTAAAGATATTTGTTAATGGATAACATAAAACATCAGCACATTTTTTAAAAAGGAGGTTTGGGATACCATCAGGTCCTAAACATTGAGATGAATTCAGAGACTGGAGACATTTCCGGACATCATTTTCAGTAAAACTGGGGACACAACTATTCTTCAAACCTTTGGATATACATATATATATATATACATATAAGTGAGCTACGACATCTGTTCAGGGATTCAAAATCGAACCTTGAGGAGAAAGCCATAAGTCACTGCATATTTATTCATTATAGTATAAGATACTTAGGCGATCTTTTAATAATCTATTGCATTTTATACTCCATTGGACGTCCCATGGATACATAATCAAGTTAAGTCTCCTTAAAATATATGAAGGGAGTACCACAAATCTCAGCTACGGCTGGGCATGTTGGGCTGTAGCTTGTAGTGCCGTGCTTCATTCATAGCTCACTTCAATAACCGTTATTATACCAATCTTAACGGGTATAAAATCAGAAGGCAGAAGGAAGCGACAACTACATTTTTATTGATGAATGATGCAGACCAGAAAGCTGTGGGCACATGAGCATATGTTAGTGAGCGAAGCAAAGATGATGCATAGTGGAGATAGCAGGGAAGCCAACTCGATAGCGAAGCGAAACTAATGAGTATTGGAGGGAAGCCAACTCGCTATGAGCAAGCATTAATCAACATTTATAGTCAGACAAAAATGAATGACAGACATATGATGAATAAGATACGAAGTGTTCATACACATACACTCATATAAAAAGTAGTCAAGGTTAATAAGCGAATAATTAACAAGATCAAAATATGACTCATAATGTATAGGTGAATTAGCTTGGCCGGTAGCTAGAATAAATTATATGGGCTTAACATATAAACCGATACTACAAGCTCACCCAGATAATACGACTAGTCAAGTTCTGGGATTCAATGGTATTAGTAACTTCTCAGGAGTCCTTTAAGGGGAAATCTAACATATCCTGGGAGACTCGGATCAATGTTCAATCCTCTTTAGCTTGTCTAATATACTTGGGCCTATAACTGGAGACATCGATTATCTACTGCCACTTGACGCAGAACCCCGTCAAGCGAATGCTCCATTCCAAACACAACCAATTGGACAGTTTGAACAAGACCATTGCATCTGAGTAGCTATGCAAGACTTCCAGGGCTCGAGCAACATCCCGGATCTGCGTACTTACTTCCAGGTGTAACGACAAGAGAATGAACCGTTTTATACTGGCTCAACATAAAAATTATTGATAATTTCTTAACACCAGGTTCGAGAGGGAGTTCAATATATACAAGGTCGGCATCGGGATTTGGTCGTCTAGATGATTGATCAGTCGCAGTCATGTCCAAGCTGCAGGTCTAGCAAGTACAGTAACCCTCAATTAAAATTGATGGTTAACGTATGTGGTCACTCACTGTAAGTATAGACAACGTTTATGATGTTCATTCAAGATGTGAAAACTGCGTCGAAGTGCTTTTTGTTCGAGGTTCAGGTTTATGTGCTCAATGCAAAACTCCTATACGCAAAAACAATTTTCGTTATCAGCTGTTTGAAGACCCTTTGGTGCAAAAGGAAATAGATATTCGCAAAAAGCTACTGAGCGAGTATGTTGACATTTCTAAATGGGATTTATGACAGTTTCAATAAACGTGAAGATGATTTTGACTGCCTAGAAGAGTACAATCTATACCTAGAAAAAATAGAAGACCTGAGTATGACTTTTGATCTTTTATTTATCTTGCAGTTTACAATCTTACAAACGATATAAGTGTCGAAGAAACAAAACGCTATATTGAGAATTATAAGAAGGAAAATAAAGAGATAATTAAGAAAAACCGAACTAAACCTGTAAGTTATATCCGTGATCAGTAATACTGAACTTAATTGTGTATACAATTCCTTGTAGTTGTGATCATGTGTTCTCTAAAATGTCACAAAAAACGACAAAATTGAGTGCTATTAATGTGTAAGTGGTAGTAATTCTTGTATATCTGTTACTCGAAGTAACGGATTAGTGGTTTAAATATACCGACTCGACCTATCGAATCATTGAAATAAATCAACTTATTTGTTGCTTCAAATGAAGTGATAGGTTGTAAGTCCCCACATCACACTAGTTGGAAACCTGTTACATGAGTACACTTTGCTGGAAAGTCTTAAGTTTATTCTCATCCACCTTCGTTTGTACAATTATGTCTTGCCCCATTCATGCCTGCGATATACGGTAACATGATTTATTTTTCACTCAGCTTACCCTAATTCAGTAAACGTACGGTCACCACTTCAGGTGTCACGTAAAACTAATATGGTTTGATTGTTTACGACAAATTATTTTAGTCGCCTTTGTAATGGGTATCATTGGGACTCCTCATAAATTAAAATGGCTAGGAGAAGTGTAATCCATCGATTAATAAATTAACTAACAAATAATGATTTTATTTTCGAACTTGTTAATATCCCAAGTTGCGCGAGTTATATGTGGACGTAAATAAATAAACAAACCGTTTTATGTCACACTTAACACGTAGTTAGAGTCAATAGTTCGGGTGTACAATATATATATATATATATATATATATATATATATATCCTTACCTTTCGTGCCCTAAATCTTGCTCTAAATACCACCTATCAGCTGTCGTAATTAAAATTAAAAAAAGCTTAACATTTAGCGGACGTAATAAAATTCTTTTTTGCTGAGTTTGACGATTACAAATTTGTTTGAGGGAAACTTTTAATAAAAGTTTTTCTAAATACCTTATGTGACTGCAATAATTTTGAGGTGGATTTTTTTCCGAAGACAATTTTCCTTCAGAATTGATTCCTTGAGTTATGTAGTTTAAGCGTAGTGAGTAAAGCGATAAAAGATATTGACCATTTCACTTTTATTTACAGTACGCTGTGACTGGCTGTCAACCGTAGTGGATAGGTACTTGGAAGCAGATGACATATAGTTGTTACTAGTATTTCCTCACAGTTGTCATCCAAAAATTGCTCAAGTATGATGGAACAACTTAGTGAGCAATGCTGGATTTAGGGATAAGGTGCCAGATCGTTCGTGGTGCTATAAACCATTAACTACGGTCGGAAAATGTTACGCGTGTTTAAGTACTTCCTACCCTGACATGCGTCACTAGTTGGTACAAGAACAAGTTTGGAAAAATCCAATAAAACCAAAATCGCATCAATCCACAAATTAATCGATTATTTTTCTGAGCCATATCAACAAACCCATAATTTCTGGTCGGATCCAGCGCAATAGTCTGGATTTGTAGTTAGTGTTGGGTGTCATGTTACAGACTACCATAATTTACCCAGCACAGATTTATGAATTCAGCTTTGTACCACACATTAGTTGTGGTCTAGCCTTGCTATGTGGTTGCTCAAGTCAAATTAATTGGGGCCATATCATTTGCATTGGTACAGCTGCATTCATTCTGTATCTTCTAGATGTCAAGTAAACTATAATTCTTAATCTGAATCTTTGCTTTCGAACTATATTTCTCATATTTAGATATGCATCTCGACATTATTTCTCTGTTAGTTATACCCAAATACCACCTACCTTAAATCTCGATGCTGGCTGAAATAAGAACAGATTGCAAGAAATCTGAATAATCGACTCAAGATGAGGGGTCAGTCCTCAAAGTTATTGACTGTTGGACTAGGTCGTGCTGTTAGATGAAAACTACCTGATTGTAGTCTGTTCTATGATTGGAATCAGTGGCTGGCGAATCTTCAGCGTCATTTTTGCTTCATAAATAACTTCATTCCGAGCCATATTATCAATATTTACTATTTTTAACTATCATACTACCACCATCTCGATCCCGTCAATGATCACCTGGCCGATTCGATCTTATTGTGTCCGTCCAATATAGTCACCTGGACTGATGCATTTGTTTCGGGGTCTGATTCCATTTACTTTTCATCTTGTCTCTTCCTTCTCACTTTGCTGATGTGGGGCTTAGCAATTTGGACCGGGATGCATTTGTGCTAGATCCTACTTTTCACAACTGATTGATTTCCTGGCTATTCCCTAGTATGTCTTGTTTTTAAACAGTTTTGTTTAGCTCTAGGTAATTTCTTATTATATTTTGACAAAGTAATGGTCCTTAATGAATTCGGACTCTTAAAACGTTATAAGTCACCAAGCCTAAAGGGTCTGCTCCCAGCTCTTTCCAGGGGTAGCGATGAATATGTAGTGAGGAAACTAACTTTGTTGTTCGGAGAGGTTTGTGAAATGAAATGTTCCGGCATCTTGGATTGAACTGATTGCCATTCCTATCTTCTAAAGTTTTCACGTAATCTATGCAATAACAGTTGGGAGACAAGTCTGGTTTCTAATGAGTTTAAGTTATTTACAGTCATACTCTGCGAATTATGTGAAACCTGTGGAAGACTAACTCATGAAGAGCAGTGTGGATTTTGTTCCGACTATTAATGTATAAATAACACCTCCAAATCTTGGGACGTTGTCACACTTTTTGCCTGCCAACTCCATGTTTCTTAATATCAGGGATGTCTTGGATTCACTGAACACGACTACTCTGAGATTGTCAGTCAAAGAAGGGTCTCCTTGTGAAGGCTCTGTATACAAACACATTGGAAATAATCAGGACATACAAATGCCTCTTCCCGTTGTTACATTTCAGCAGTGGAATTATGAGGTTTGCCATTCCCACTATTTATATTCGACCTTACTACCGATTATATTCTAGAAACAGTTCTGACGAAAGTATATGGTGATGTGGATCTGTTTCTTGAAAACTTTCTGATCTCGAGTACCTCAGTCATATTGTGATGCTACGCGATGATACTCAAGCTATCCAAGTAACATTTAATGAGTTGATGATTATTTTCCGTAAATGGGGCATGTAACTTCCATACAAATGCAGACCACTTTTCCAAGATTGGCAGGAACATATGTTTGCACTTATTTTGTGTTGAGCCGTTAGTAGTCAGAAGTTCTACATAGCTTGGTATTTGTGTGAGTGCTGGCATTGGTCTGATAGATAAAGTTAATGTACGTACGGTAAAGGCTAGAGTGACCTATGCTAATCTGCATCATATTAAACATCGTCATAATGCTAGTTTGTCTGTAAAGGGTTAGGTTTACAACGCATCGGTGCGAGTTTTTTTTCTGTATTTGTGAAGCTTTGTCTCTGATTTGAGATTCCTCGGCAATTCCTTGTGTTCGACTATCGTTGTCTTCGAAGGGCTGCTGACATTCAATGACCATACCATGTAGTGCTGAGGTTCAGCAGTATGTTCTGGTTAAGTGATGATAGTTTATACGTGGCACGGAATAGAAGCCAGTGACAATCCTATTCTTGCTTTCTGTGATGTTTTTCATAACACTTAGAAAATTTCCCTTAACTGAAAGAAGTTACTCTTAAGCATATTTTCAACTGAATCATATCTCTTTTTAAAAACCGTTCTTGTTAATTTACCCATTGACCATATATTCATTCATTCCTTCATTTATTTTTTAATAACATCCCTTCATTTGTATGAGACATTGGTTTTGTTTCCTAATTGTACCAGAATCTGCGTGGATAATAAACATTTAGATTAAACGAAAGCGTTTGAAAAAGTTACTTAGAGGAACATTTGTTTTGATATTTAAAAGATTCGTTTTATTCCATGGCAATCAGTGATACCTTTTTAACATTCCAAGTATGTTGTTTACTCTTACTTTTGTGAGATACATTGATAGTGATTTTTGCATGTGTCAAGGTAATGGGTTGCAAGAGTATACTGTATACCGATACGGTGTGTATTGGTTTGTTCTAATCTAATATGAACAGAACAGTAATGTTGTGAAGGAAAATAATGACTAGTATCTTTGATATCTTAAGTACTTTATTACTTGGACATTTATCAAACTGGGTTGTCAGTGATTTTGGTAAAATCAGCACTTACATTTTATTCGGTACCGAGGAGCTAAAAAATATGGCTTCCTATTTGTTTCCGGGTCACGTCGAAATAAAGTGCTTTACAGACTCAGAGAAACTGTACTTCCTGTGTCAAATGCATTTAAACTAGAGTAAAACTTATGAGTCCTAATAGTGTAGTCACTACCTCCTGACTGTATTACAAGCAGAAGTGAGTGGTAGCTAGCAGTGGGATCCAGGACACACGCTTTATTCTATTTGGGACTCATCAGATGGATGTACCTGCATCCCATAGTTAATGCGCACCCCGGAACTCGAACCCAGTACCGTTCGTTTCAAACGCCATCGCGTTATCGTCTTAGCTACTGTATTCAGAGACTGGTCGGTTGTAGTCCAATACATCAATGGGAAGATTCAAACTACCAATATAAAAAATGGATTGAACTCCTGACTGTATGTTCTGTTGGTTGTTAATCATCGTATTAAAGAATAGTTCGAAGTGACTCAATTTAGAAATGTAATTCCGAAGGTAACTGTTTTGCAAATAAATCTTTCCCTTCATTTTCCTTCACAGTCCTCTTCAATGGCATTTTACGATTCTGAGTTAGAACGTGAATCTATTTTGAGGGAAAAGCGAGAACGTGAGGAAGAAGAGGAAGGCGGAACTCTAAAAGGATTAGAAAATACCCGTGGTTCTGATGATCCTAATGGTCCAATGACAACTGAATCTGAAGGAGAAAGACGGAAGAACAATATTCCCCCAACACCCCGAACAAATATGCTGATTCCACCTACCTCAGCTTTTGGACGTCGAGCTCCTGCGACATTTATCCCACCATCAGTGTACGCCCCTCCTTCATACATACCACCACCTACACAGGCTCTGGGGCATGCACCCAGCTCTGCGTTCCCAGTACGTCCAATAGTCACTCCTGTGAGCGGTTTTATGGCTCCACCTTCCATGCTTCCTGTAGCTCCGCCCACCGGTAGTCTCTCAAACAACTGGATCAGTGGAACACACCACATGATACATCTTCCTCCCACAGCTTCGCTTCGGAAACAACAGGACACTGTTTTGATTCCTAGTCAAAACACAGTACGTTTGGTTTTGTTGTGATATAGATTTCGAAATTCATCTATGTTGTTTCTCTAAGTATATATATCCGATTTAGAGAGAATAATTATTGGTTACAACATTCGATTCTCAACCAACAAATCTTGGGTTTAGAATGACTTTACTGAATGAAGGGGAATATTAGTGAAATAGTCTGTCTAAACAGGGGGAAACTAAGTGTTAGAAGCATTTTCAAAACTAGGACAAACTATCATGCACTTGAAGATTTATTAGCTATTTAATACACAGTTTACCGACTCACATTCTTAGAGTTATATGGCTCATAATCAGTCAGACTAGTTCAAATTCATTTTCCCCTTAATCTTGAGTCTTACTATTCCCTTGTAAATACCTTTCCAATTCATGTTTTCAATGTTTAATGTTCCTGTCTATCAGCAAACCATTATTTCAATCACCTTGTTATCCATTTTGTCAATATGATCCTGCTGTCCTAATGAGACTGCCCATCCAGGAGATTTGCTTATCTAATTAGATGCACAGATGAGATAGTTTTGTTTGGTGGATGTTTTAACAAAATGCAATCCTCTGGTTTATTTATATTTCTTTATTTATTTAAACATAAATATTGGTACAAAGAGGCACCAGATATATATGTGCCACATGAATCTCATTTGATTTGTGTGAGGGTTGTGATACTGCCCGGGTGCCCAAACTGAGGCAGGTGGTCCCCTTAGGGGACCACACCCGAAGCCTCTGACCTAAAGATCTGATCCACAAGGCAGTGGGGCATCGTGAGGAGATGCAGTCCCATGGTAGCCGGTGACCAACGATTGGTTCATACGCCATTTGTTCCCTCAGGATACTGGAGTCTATGTGCACCAATTGTTTGGAATGAGGGCTTTCCAACTCCCCTAGGTGAACTTTCCGTGTCCACCGGCCCGGTTAAGGCGGCGGACATTCGCTTTTCGCCCTCTCACTTTCGTAAACAACAGTAATACCACGAGAAGGCAGTGAGTAAGACTTCCCTGGCAGATGACTTATCACTAACACTTATTTGGTATATAACAACTCTTCTACAATCAATTTTGATTACGGTTAATTTTGTCGTCGTTGACTATGAGAAGGCATTTGACAATATGGACCGGAGAATATTATGGAAACTTCTTCGACACTATGGAGTTCCTCAGGAGATTGTCAACATTATCCAGAACTCATACGACGGACTACAGTGCAAAGTCGTGCATGGAGGACAGCTGACAGATGCATTTCCAGTAAGGACCGGAGTCAGACAAGGCTGTCTACTCTCCCCATTCCTCTTTCTTCTTCTGATTGACTGGATTATGAAGACTTCGACATCTGAGGGGAAGCACGAAATACAATGGACATCTCAGAACCAATTAGACGATTTGGACTTCTCAGATGACCTAACCCTCCTATCTCATACACACGAACAAATACAGACGAAGACAGCAAATGTAGCAGCAGCCTCTGCATCAATAGGCCTCAACATACACAAATAAAAAAGCAAGATTCTCAAATACAACACGGAGAACACCAACCCAATCACCTTTGATGGTGAAACTCTGGAAGAGGTGGAAACATTTACGTACCTGAAAAGCATCATTGATAAACAAGGGGGATCGGATGCAGATGTTAAGGCGAGGATTGGCAAAGCAAGAGCAGCATTTCTACAATTGAAGAACACACGGAACTCAAAACAACTGTCAACTAACTTCAAAGTGAGAATCTTCAAGACAGTGCTACTGTACGGAGCTAAAACGTGGAGAACTACTACATCCATCGTCAAGAAGGTATAAGTGTTTATGAACAGTTGTTTACGTGAAATACTCAACATTCACTGGCCGGATACTATCAGCAACAGTTTTATTTTAGAAGACAAACCAGCTTCCAACTGGAGAGGAAATTAGGAAAAGACGTTGGAAGTGGATAGAACATACATTAAGGAAATCACCAAACTGCATCCACGAGGCAATTCCTAACTTGGAATCCGGAAAGGAAGCGAAAAAGAGGAAGGCCAAAAACACATTACCCCGGGAAATAGAAGCAGATATGAAAAGGATAAATGTTAACTGGAAAGAACTAGAAAAGATTGCCCAGGACAGGGTTGGATGGAGAATGCTGGTGGATGGTCTATGCCCCTCCACGAGGGGTCACAGGGGTAAGTAAGTAATTTTGTCGAGCCCTTTTATTAACTTATTTGCAGACAGTGTTGTTGGAACAGTAGCAATCCGTCTATTTCTCTGTACTTTTATGACTACTATCTTGTCTGTATAAGCGTGTATGCTTGATCACATGTTACAGCCTACACACATATCTCTCTAGCTAAAATGTTAATATCTTAAATATCGCTCGATGAGCCTCTATATACACTCGCCTCTCTGTTTCGAATTCGCTCGATGTGTTTGTAGCTTTGTTATCTGTGCTATCCGCTTACAAACTGTAGTCGCCGCTTTTTATTACCTTCTGAATTTAAACACCGTTGGGATTTAGATGATAACGGTTATCAAGGTTACTGATCAACGGAGCCAAGCCACTACAGGTATATGATGGAATCCTGACACGGATGAGTCGTTTGTCGAAACTTGTAACCTAATATTTTAAAGTTAAATAAATTATCTAATCTTCCACTGCCGTGCTACAGTCTACTCCTGGGGGCATCTGGTTAATATCACTCGCTTCTGCACAATAAAGTGTAGCTCAAAGCCATATACATAAAAAGTCACCTGATAAATAAGTTATTTAAAAACAGCTTACTGTTTAGCTCTTAACTACCTAAGATTTTTCAGCTAGTTCCAACCATCTGATTACTAAATATGTTTCCAAAGGAATGTATTTCGTTGTGTTCATTCAGATGTGTTTCTTTATTGGTAAGATTTTCTAGAAAGACACATAAAAATTCCTAGACTACTTTCTATTTTCCTACACAACCGTTTTTTAATTGCCACTACTTTTTATTACTAAAATGCTTATTTAGTTTTATCACGTTTTTTAGAGTCATAACGCAAAAAACCATACATCACCACTTCAGTTTGTATATGAACCTTATGTAGTCGAATTGTGTGGTCCTATGCCACCACTTTCAAGTAATCGGCATATTCGTTGGATTGATGTTCTTCAAATATATGAAAAAACTGTAATTGTCAAACTCAACCATCAAGCACAAACACCAGCAAATACTTCCGAAACCAAGCCTAAATCAGAAACAGAAGGGGAATTTAACGATGCAGATTGTGGCAGAACTGCTGTTGATATTAAAGCAAATTACAAGACAGAAGAAAGTTTCCTAAGTGATGATGTGAAAAAAGAGTACGATAGTGATGACAGTAACCATACCGATATTAAAATCAGTGCTTTAAAGGTGGAAAACTCTTGTCCGACAACTAAGTCTTTGGGCCTTTCTTGTCAGCTAACTGCTGGGGCTTGTGGTATTTCACCTGCTGTTTTTCTAGAAAGGTGTTTGCTAGAGTCGCGTTGTGGACTTTTCATGTGACCCAAAAAAAGAAATCTTATTGAAGATAATTTTTGTACATAAATTATTTATTTTAGAACGAAATATACGTTTAAATAAATGTTATCTTCTGTCAAAATCGTAGTTTGATGATATTTTCTGTTTGATGAACAAATTTTCACTGTCATTATATCAGACTATGGTTCTCCCGGATCGGTCTAACTATATGGTGGCATTGGGTAACCGTGCACCGCCTGTAGCTCTTCTAAGTTTATTGCCGGTCTGAAGCCCGGGTAAAGAGAGAGGGTTGGGCATGAGGTCAGCATTCCCACCCCGTAGAAAACAACCTTGCTAAAAAACCCTAACCAGAATAAACAAAGTGAACCATTTAAACTCTGCCCTGAGAATTGGATGATCTTCATTCAGAAGAATTGTGGAGCCTCATGGTGAAATCCGAGATTCTTCAGAAGGTACGAGACCGATTCCCCGCTTCTAACAATTAGGGCAACAATTAATATGGGTACACGGGATGTCTGGACAATGTGAGAGATTGGGAGGACCAATTGAATAGTTGCGGAAATCAGGAGATATAACTTGACGGTGCTCGGAATATGTGAAATCGATTGGACCCAAGCTGGACAGAAAAGTTAAAATTCAGGAGAGATGCTGTTGTTCTCTGGTCACAAAGAGGTAAATGATCCACACACTCAGGGAGTTGTTGTGATGCTGTTCAAAGAAGCACAAAGTGCACTTATAGGATGTGAATCTCATGGGTCCAGGATCATCAAAGCATCATTTAAAACAAAGAAGGAGGGGATCACGATGAATGTTATTCAGTGCTATGCCCTCAGCAATAATAACAGTGACGACGATAAATACCAGTTCTATGAGAGGCTGCAATCAATCGCAGAGAAGTGCCCAAGAAAGGACCTGACCATACTGAAGGGAGACTTAAACGCCAAAGTCGGAGAGACGACATCGGGTATAATAAACATATCATGGGACGACATGGACTGGGAGAAAGGAGGGAAAATAGTGAGCGATTTGTAAATTTATGTGCCTTCAACAAAATAGTTATAGGTGGCTGTATGCCCCCTCAACAAGCGCATACACAAGGCTACATGGGTCTCATCGGACCACACTACAGAGAATCAGATCGATCATATTTGCATCATTAAGGGTTTCGGAAGTTCAGTGCAGGACGTGAAAGGCAGGAGAGGAGCTGACATAGCTCTAAGTCACCACCACTTGGTTGTGGCCAAAATAAAACTGAAGCTAGAGAAACACTGGACAACTGGAGAAACAGTAGTACAAAGGTTCAACACAGACTTCCTTTGAAGTACTGTCAAACTCAACGAATTCGAAATAACTCTCAACAACGGGTTCCAAGTCTTGTAAGATCTACCCAACGAAGAAGAAACTATTATGAGGAATAACTGGAAAGAGATCAAAGAAGCACTATCTTCAACATGTCAAAAGGTTCTGAGCCGCAGGAAGCATCATCATAAGGACTGGACATCTATCGAAACTTCGGGCAGTATTTGAGAAGGGAAGAACAAGAAGACAGCAATTCATGGCAGTCGAACAAGAACAGAGAACGTCAAGGCACAAGCTGAATACACTGAAGCAAACAAGCAAGTGAAGAGGAGCATTAAAGCCGACAAGCAGAAATACGTGGAAGACTGTGATGTTTAAGAGTATTTGAATTATAGTATAAACTAGTATTCCCCGAAATAACGCAATTTAATCAAGAAGTATTAGATGAGCATTAACGAATGTACTGTATTTGGAATTCAAAATCAAAACAGTCATCAATACAAAGAAATCACTGATTCATATAAACACCACAAAGACCTAGCAAGGATAGAGGATAAAGCTGAAAGAGAAGGAAATATGAGACAACTACTTGACGCAACAAGGAAACTGGGAGGGAAATATAGTGAACCATAGAGACCGATCAAGGGCGAACAAGGCAAGCCAATCACTGAAATTCAAGAACAGATAGGTGGAACACTTTAGGGAACTCTTGAATAGGCCAGCTCCAGTGAATCCACGGGATATCGAAGCAGCACATACAGACCTTCCCATTAATGTCACTCCACCAACGATCGAAGAAATCAGGATGGCCACCAGACAAGTCAAGAGTGTGGAAGCATCAGGAGCTGATAAAATACCAACTGAAGCACTGAAGTCAGACATAGGAGCAACAGCGAATGTGCTCCACGTTCTATTCAGGAATATTTGGGAGGATGTTTAGTGGCTCGATGTCTGACTACATTTGGACCGTATGAGTGATTGCTATTGAAATATACGTATCGTCAATCCTCGTATATAATTATCGACTTAAATCACGTCAGTGAATAATGGAATTAAATAGGTCAAATACGAAAATGAAGTTTTAGTGAGTATATTTCATACAATCGTTGATCGGGAAGCGAAGCAAAACGAAATGAAACAATGGAAAAGGCGAGTGAGCCAACTCAAATTAGTTAAGTGTGGATCGATACTTATAGTCGAACAAAAATAAGTTACAGAAATGTGGTAAGATGAGAAATACACACCCATATGCTTACATAAAAGCAGTCAAGGTTGACAAGTGAATAAATAGCAAGGTTAAAATGTGACTCCAGAAAAATGGATAAATTGACCTGTTCTGAAGCTAGAATAAGCTATGTGGGCTTAGCATAGCAACCGACACTACAGACGGACAAGTTCCGACAGACTGGAATGAAGATATCAAAGAGAGGAGATCTGAACAAATGTGAGAACTGCAGAGACATCACACTACAATCGGTACCGGGAAAGGTTTTCAAAAGAGTGTTGTTCAATCGAATGAAATATTCAGTGGACGCCCAACTTTGGGATCAACAAAACGGATTGTGTAAGTGTCAGTCGTGCACAGACCAAATCGCGACACTACGGACCGTCGTTGAACAATCAATGGGATGGAACTTGTCACTATTCATCAACTTCATTGACTATGAGAAGGCGTTTGACAGCGTGGATCGAAGATCCTTATGGAACCTCTCTCGACACTGTGGTGTAGCTGAGAAGATTGTCAACATCATCCGGAATTCATATGACGGACTACACTTCAAAGTTGTGGATGGAGGAAAGCTGGAAGATGCGTTCCAAATGATGACCTGAGTCATACAAGGCTGCTCACTCTCACCATTCCTCTTTCTTTCGGTCGTTGACTGGATTATGAAGACCTCTGCATCTGAGGGGAAGCACGGAATTCAGTGGACCTGAAATACTACAATACAGAGAACATTTACCCAAACACACTTGATAGGGAGGCTCTGGAAGATGTGGAAGATTTCACTCGTCCGTGCATCATTATCGATTAACAAGAGGGATCTGATGCAGACATAAAGGCAAGAATTGAAAAAGCAAGGGTAGCATTTCTACATTTGAAGGACATATAATACTCAAAACAACTTTCGACTAATCTATATGTTAGAACTGTGTTGTCATCGGTTAAATTAGTTCTCAATTTTAATACGGCAGTAAAAGATGATTACATCCATTGGCCTCTTTTCTCTGTCATATCTGATACCGTTTCTAGCTAATGAGTTGCACCATCTGTCGGACCACAAGTAGCAATTTTTGATTTGGCCGACCGATTTAAGTTATGTACGGCTTTCGTTTTTATTTCTACATCATTTCATAAGCTGGAACATCGTATAGTAGATGGTCCTTTTTTATCATGTTATCTGTCACAAAAATGTAAATAAAATCCAGTTATGCCTTTTAGTCTTTCCAGTATAATTCCACATTTACTTCATGAGAGCTGGGTGGGTTTATAGTGTTTCAGGTGTTAGCTTATGGCATTGAATGCCTCCTAAACTATGAGACTCATAGTTGTGTTAGTGTGGTTACTGTGTATCCCTTTCACTATTTTGTAACCCAACGGTTGTGTAGTGTTTTAGACACTAAATACTTCTTATCTGTCAATTATTATTGTTGAGCGTCCAAACTGTAGATAAAACTAGACTGTCATCGGTAAATTACTGATTAAAAGTGCCTAAATCAGTATTTTAGATTCTCACTGACTTATCTTGACATTAGATCATAACATGGATTCGGTCAGTTGAGTGTGATCTAGTGATAATGGTTTGTGTGTAACAACTGAGTGTTGTGAATTTCGTAGACACTAATTATATTATGCACTATGGTCGATAACAGACTTTTGTGGTAGATGTTACCTAAACCCCTTTCAGATTATGAATACTATGCACTAATTGTACCTTTTTTTAACTTTCAAGGCAACGAGAATCTCTTTTATTGCTTACCCCAGACCTACTTCCATATTTTTTCCTGTGTATTCAGTTAAGTATTTGTCGAAATCGCCAATGACCTCCAAAATAAATCATATGAATGAACAATTTCCTTGTACAGAAAAGTACTCAGAGTTAAAAGAAGTTTTGAAACCGTGTGGTAAACTTCCGCCGACAAACGACATAAAATTGGATCGATCTTACTTTAAACGTAAAGTCCCAATGATATTCGTCGGTGTTCAATGTGATAAACATCTCAAGACATCTTTAGAGAAGTTGAGACCATTTTTCTGTCCATTTATCCGACTACCTAAAATATCTAAGACTTAGTAAGTTTTCTAGTATAATGTTTAGATTGCTGTCGTTAACACAACTCACTTCGTATTTATACTGAATTGTTTAACCCTTAGAAAATATCTGATTGATTAGAAATTCCTCTCTCTTTGGTTGCTTATTATCAAACTCTTCAGGTGTATATGTGGAATTTAACATCAATTAATGTAATGTTTTTAATGGTTAGTTACAGTTGTAGCGGCGTATAGTAGTGCTATATTTTGAATTATATGGATTTCAAAGATTATAGCTAGTGTATTTCTACTTCTAGTGATAGAAAAAACCTGGCTCCAATCATTTATTGGCGTGAGATTAATATATTTCTGAGGTGGTTTAAAATCGTTTTTAAATTATCTCACGGAACGACTTTGCATTGTGTTCTAAACACGTGATGTACGACTAAAGCAGTCATACAAAACCTGTGAGTTTATTCATATAACATTGCCTTGTTAGTTTGATCCCAACCATTGCAGCTACATTGACGTGATGTTCGGGCTTGCATATCGTGATGAACCAATCGAGTTATGCTGGCTGGAACAATCGTTCCTCATGGTCCTACCATGCCAGGCAGTTCGGTTGAAGAGCAGTAAGACTGAAAGCAGCAAACCCTAGGTCCCAGGGCAAAATCGTGCTGCTGACTGTACAGAGGTTTGACGGCAGTAAGGTGTTGCCTTCAAACGACCAGCAGAACAGCGATGCTGCCTTCCCACAAGGAAGGGTGGGGTTTGAAAAGGTTGAACCTAAAGATGCACACCTCGCCTTATCTCACGGATATCCGTCTCCAGCGGTAAGGTTCCAACAAGTACGAGGCTAACACGAAAATTACTCACAAGACGGTCGTGCGTGACCGACTTCAAGCAGTTGTCCCTTGGGCACTGCGGTCACGCTCTCAGGTCACTAAGATCACTTCTAATTCAATTTCCTTTTCAAGTACCTCTAGAAGAACTCTTCCACGATGTGGGCAACCGGGAAGTAATAACCACTCTCACACCCCTAACAGCACTCAAGGTCACTGTATTCATAATCAATCTCCTTCAATTTCTATTATTCCTCACACCTCGACTTTCAACACTATACTTTCTCTTTCGGCTTCCTCCTCAAGTGTCACCATGGCCAACGATTCTAGTGCGCGAAACACTGTCTCAGGTATACTGAAACCTCGCTCCAAACCATATATTGGAGCCTTCAACGTACGCACCCTGTGTGAAATTGGCCAGCAGGCATCCTTGGCAAAACCCTAGAATCTCATGCCATTAATACATGCTGTGTTTCTGAAATACGCATACAGGATCTTAGTGTGGTCATTCACTCGACCTCACCCCACCCGAAACGGAGAATCGACGAGATACACCCTCCGTTTATCTGGCGACTCGATTGCTAGTTCTCGTGTACTGACTGGTGGAGGCATAGTGTGGTGTGGTCTACTTATATCCATATAAGTAGTATATGGTGTTGGTCAGACATAGAATGTATTTTGGCAGAAGACCGATTAGGAAAGAACTGAAATCAAGCGCAATTGGTAGGAAAATACATGAACAATGGAGTTCGAGAAGAAACAGTGAAGATTGAGACAATTGGTTGTTAATTTGCAAATTAACTGTTCATTGTATGGTTATCAGAATTTATTGAGATAGTCTGTAATTCTTGCTTAAATACATTCGATTGTCCCCAGTTGTGTTCTGTTCACTACAATAGCACTTAGTACGAGAGCAGAAAAAGCAGTATTAGAGTGGATTCCCATTAACAGTCGCCTATGTGCTGTTCGGCTAAACGACTCCGTAAGAACTCGGAAAGATAGGGACATACGTCGTTGCCTTTACGTTGTTTCTGCCTACGCTCCCACTGGCTGCAGACCGGATGAAGTGAAAGATGACTTTTACAGAAAGCTCTCTGAACTTCTTTAAAAAGCTAAACAGTCAGACATAGTACCCGTAGCAGGTGACTTTAATGCCCAAGTGGTAACCTAAACCAAGCAGAAAGACATTTAGGTGGGAATTTTAGTATCCCGGCTCAACGAACCGATAATGGTGATCGTCTGTTGCAACTATGCTCAGACAATCGTTTATTTTTTAGCAAGCACTAATTTTAAGCATAAGGAGAGACATTGTCTAAGATGGCGACCGTCTGTACCAAACCAACGATGGACTCAAATAGACTCAAATAGAGGCTCGGTAGAAGATTGTCGCTCGTACTGGAATACATGTTTAGACTCTGATTATGCTTTAATATGAGCAGCATTTGTTTGTGCCTCACTTGACGCAGGAAAACTACACTAAGAAAACCCATTAGAATTGAACTCAGTCACGAGAAAGCTAAAAGTCCCAGGGATAGTTGAGTTCACATCTATGCAGTTCTGAAAACGAGGTTGACCCAGATGTTCCTTGGAAAGATTTACGAACAACTGTGGAGACGGCAACAACGTCTATTAGTAATTTAAACCAAAGGGTTACAAAAATCCAATGGATTTCTTCTATTGCACTGATAGATTCTCGTCAACTCATCCCACTAAGCTCTTAACACAATGACAAGCGAAAACAAATCAGATCTAGGTTAACCACAAGTCTAAGGAACGATCGTGAGCAGTAGTGAGCAACGAAAGGAAAAGAAATGGAAAAGGCAGCAGCTGCAGGCATTACCAGACAATTCTTCAGACTAATAAGAGAAACCGGAATTAGGAAGTCAAGTGTAAGCGAGGCAGTCTCGGAAAAAAGACGAGACTCTTATCTGCTCTCAGCCCAGACGTTTAGAGTGATGAGAAGAACACTTAAGAAAACAGTTTAGCTGACTTCAGCTACTCTACAGTTACCCACCATTCCCAGACAATCTGAATGGAGCATTGAAGCAGGTCCCTCGACTCTGATGGAAGTTCAAAAGGCTATAGCTATTCTGTAACGAGGAAGAGCAGCTGGTCCAGATGGATTGGCTCCAGAGGTCTTTAAATATAGTGGTCCGATTTTAGCGATTAGGTTGACTAATATTCTGGCTAAAATCTGGGAGACGGATGAAATCCCATCTGACTGGTCACAATCTCTGATTGACCCAATATATAACAAAGGGTCAAAATCATCCTGTGATAACCAAGAAGTGATTAGTTTGACTAATATGGCATCTAAAGTACTAGACTCAATAATTATCGGGCGCCTAACAAAGACTCGTGAACTCCAAACACGAGAAAATCAGGCTGGCTTCAGACCCGGTCGTGGCTGTATCGACCACATATTTACCATTCGTCAGGTTTTAGAACACAAACACGCTTATCGACGCCAGACAATGATAGTTTTTCTTGACTTGAAAGCAGCATTTGACTCTGTAGACCGAGAGGTTCTGTGGCAGTGTCTGTCATTGAAAGGTGTACCTGAGAAGTACATAAACCTTGTGAAGGCTCTTTACTCGAACACTACCAGTCGAGTGAGAGCTTATGGCGAACTGTCATATGATTTTGCAACCTCAAGTGGTGTCCGTTAAGGCTGTCCGTTATCTCCGTTTTTGTTGAACTTCAGCATAGACCTATTGCTGGAAATAACACTCTAATCGTCTGAATTTTCAGGAATTGACCTCCTTCCAGGAGGTCCACTAATCGACTTAGAATACGCAGATGATATAGTCCTGCTTGGTGAAGATGCTGACAAAATGCAGTCTTCTGTTATAACTGAGTAACAATGCAAGGATGTTTGGAATGCGTTTCTCCCCATCCAAATGTAAATTGTTACTCCAGAACTGGTCTGGTCAACACCCGAACTAAGGATAGGGAGTGAATTAGTCGAACGCGTCGACAACTTCACTTATCTTGGAAGTCTGATCAGCCCTAATGGGTTGGTATCTGACGAAATCTCTGTACGGATTCAAAAAGCTCGTTTGGCTTTTGCCAACTTACGTCACCTATGGCGAAGACGAGATATCCGTCTATCAATTAAGGGACGAGTATACTGCTCAGCAGCTCGCTCTGTTCTACTTTACGGCTGTGAAACATGGCCATTAAGAGTAGAAGGTACTTGTACGTTACTGGTATTTGACCACAGATGTCTTAGAAATATTGCTCGCGCCTGCTGGGATCACCGGGTAAGTAATAGTGAGGTTAGACACAGGGTATTAGGGAATGGTGGTAAATCAGTTGATGAGGTCATTAATCTACATCGACTGAGATGGCTGGGACACGTAATATGCATGCTAAACTACTGATTACCACGGTGCGCAATGCTGACTCGTGTTGGAGACGGTTGGGGGATTGGAAGAAAGTTAGGGACGGCCAAATCGAAATGTGACATCAGTCCTCAAAGTCACTAACTTCTGGTCTGCGTCCTGTCGGTAGATGCAGACTACTTGGCTGGGCTCTGTGTGACTATCGTAATCAGTGGTTGGAGACTCTAGGTGACGGCTCAGAATCGATCACAATGTCGTAGGTGTGTACACTCTTTGTCTTCCCTTAAACTATAAGATTAAAATTACTTCCTTTCTTTCTTCCAGTATAATATCCTTATATGCAATCTTTATTTTGTATATTACCACCATTAAATTAACTACTTCTATGAATCCGGTTGTGCTAATGAGGTATGGCAGCTTGGACCGATGCATATGTGTGCCTGGTCCTACGTTGTAGTTTACTGGATGTTGTTTTGATGGGTTTAAGCGATCCAACATTTGGTATAGAGTTGAATCTAATGACAGATAAGTGGCTTCTGTACTGAACCTTTGTCGATGGTTCCCAACACTATTCGGCTGAATAGTGTTGTGGTGTGTGCTACTGATGTCGACAGATATAAGTAGTGTGTATCATCAATCGAAAGTGAAATGCGTGGATGCAGAAGTTTAAGAAATTCAAAGAAAAGAGAACGGTAACAAAATATGATTGACGTGTGAACGAATGAACAGTGAATTCTGAGATGATTGATTGACATTTTGAAAATGATGTATTTACTGTATGATTCTCAGATTTAACTAATATGTTCTATAATTTTGTATTCAAATACATTCGATTGTCTCACTTATGTTCTCGGTCACTACAATAGTAGGACAACTCAGAAGTGTCATTATTTGTTCGTAATCTGTGTGTACGTTCTTACTGACTGGGGTTGAGACAAATTAGAAGCCAAGTTCTTCCAAAACCTCGTTGACGTTTTTTGTAACTTATTGCTTTGCCTGTCGAGTTTTCGTTCACTCATCTGCACTAATACAAGTGTGTTGGCTAACACATAATTCGTTTACATCTAGCACATGTTTTAGATTAAAAATTTCTTCTGCTACCAGAAACGATAGCAGCCATACCTTTGATAAGTCAGTTCTAGTCAGTAATTAATTCACTGGTGCTTACATCTTATTAAAAACAGTTTTTTAAAAGAGGATTTTAAACTATTTATTTAATACTTGATAATAGGTGCAGAGTTTGTTCAACTCAGCAGTTTACAGATAGTCTGCTTGGTTTTGAGTTACTTTAATAGATGTAACTATTTTTAATTTTAATTGGCATAACTTATCTGTAGGTGTAGTAAATAATTATTTTATATCGAAAACGTTAAGTACTTTCAGTTAGATTTCTTAGAGGATTGTATCAATTATGTTTACATCTCAGTTTTACCTCGTCTATTTGCTCTGAACTTACAGTTTCATTCTGTCTTGGTAGTTCATCGACCTTCATATCCAGCTTAACAGTGCTTTTCCTTCAGTTGTGCAACTGGTAACACTAAAACATCCATGCCCGTTGCCTCACCGGTGAAACATTCATCGGGTTTCCGATTTCCAGATTAAATGTGTTGTTTTAAATTTGGGTGAAATATCGGTAACAAGGATTTAACCCATGTTACCAAAAATATTTCAACTTACTATCACTTTCGCGGTAAGTTTGTAGCTGTCGTATGTAGCTTTAGTTAGACTATTCTATCAAGTAGTGTGGTGTGGACTACTTATATCCGCATAAGTAGTATACAACGATAGTCAGGGAATAGAATGTATTTCAGTAGAAGATCGAGAAGGAAAGAACGGAGACGGAAAGCAATTGGTATGAAAATGCAGGAACAGTGAAATCTGAGACGATCGACTAATATTTGCTAAAGGAACAGTCAAGTTTGAGACGACTGATATTTTGCAAATGAAGTATTTACTGAATGATTCTCATATTTTACTGAGACGTTCTGTAATTTTGAGTTCAAATACATCCGATTGTCCCCGCTGACGTTCGTGTTCAGTACAGTAGTATAACCCTAAAAATATCTATTAATCTGTTAGTATGCGGTTTGGTATCGACTGAGAAATATAAATAAGTGGTCAGAGACATTCAGTAGCTTAAAACAGGTTTCCGTAACATGTTGATAAATTTTCTATTCTAATCTAATATACCCTGCCCAAATTCCTCTACTTCGAGATTTATCGATTTCCCTTAGTGTTTTGCTAAAGAAAATATCAACTCAGAATAATTACTTTTGAAAATAGATTCTGATTACGCTTTATACCGTCTTTAAAGTTTTTTCATTCATTGTGATAAATGTCTTCGGGCACCACATAAAGCCTCCTACTCATTGAGCGTTATGTTATCATAATTTATTTCTCCTGAAATAATTTATCCAATCTTAATAGCTCATTTTTTATTTTTGCAAAAAAACACTTTCAGCCGCGATCCAAATGGATCGTTGCGTAAATTAATGCTGGTTCAAATGCCTGAACCTGATAACATCTTGCAGTTTATAACTGATTTGAATCAGTGGAACGTTGATTTACCTAAAGATTACCCAAATCTTCAACCAGTCGATTTATCTGTACCGAAGTTGCCCGAATGCTTAGACAATGTGAAAGCTGAAAATTCATTAAACGACGAAGCATTTAAAAAAGTTAGTGTTATAGAAGAAGAGATAAACTTGTTGGAAAATATGGTCACCTCACCATGTCTCGTGAATATATCGGTCGGTTATGAAAATTTTACATTCGAACAAGTTATCAAGGAATTGTTGCCTGATTTCATCTTGCCTATTACTGGGTTTACTATAATTGGTCACGTTATGCAATTTAATCTCAAAACTGAAGCATTACCTTACCGTCATATTATTGGTGAGTTTCAGTAAAACCTCGCTTACCGGGCATAAATCTCGCTTCAGCACATAAGGTAGTCGTTTGCTGACATTATTGAGGCGTGGGTCTGCCATGAAACGTTTTTCTTGACCCCTATGTTGTTTGGAGATCGATAGACGTAGTTTCCGTGTGTTTGTACCAAGTTATGTTGTCAATCTATGGTTCTTATTAAGCATCTAGTATGTTTTTATTTTATTCTGTACACGTAATTACTGGTACGATTGGGCACCGAAATAAGTATGTCCTGCATAACTAAAGGTATAATATTGTGAAAATATAAGAGGAGAAAGGGAGGTTCTATCAGAAAATACAATTAAAATAAATGAGTAAACAAGAATATCATACAATACTAGATACAGTTCAGCTAAAAATGTGCTCAAAAAAGATTTCTTTTAGTCAAAATAGGTCCTCTCACTTTTATAAAGAATTTAATAAAGTAACACCAGAATCTCCATTGACTCCTGTTACAAGTGATGTCTGATAATATCTCAAGCCATTGAGTTGCACCATCTCTAGAACCCCAATCAAGGAGTCGTAGCCGGTCGATAAAAACTAGTCCAATGCATACCACAGTACCATGTATTAAAGTCTATTCGGTTGGGACTTGAGGAATCAGGCGGTTGAAGAGACCATAGACTCAACCACTTCAATCGTTTTAGTATGTTGTGTCATCATAGCAGTAGAGTTTCCTATCGATTTATGTCTTTTTCGAGAAAGGATTAACGGTTTTAGTAGGACAACTATTCTTGGTTCATATCCCAAATTTTTTTTCAACTTTCATACATTTGGAAATATCAGGACTAGATGTTTGTTTATTTATTTTTCCGTAGTGAGGAAAACTATTGGTCTATTTATGACCATCGTTTACAAATGTTTAGGTTTGCTGTTTGATTTATAGTTATCAATTCACTTACACGTGTGACATATTTACTTTATTTTTTTCATATTACTATCACCTTTAATATTTTATTTGACAAGTCTTTTTTCCCCATCATTTCTGGTTAACCAACTACAGGTCAAGTTGCACTTGATAAAATACCAAATATTCGCACAGTTATTCATAAAGTTTCGAATATTGAATCGGCTTATCGTACTTTTGAAATGGAATTACTTGCTGGTGTTCCTGATTATATCACATCAATGCGTGAAAACAATATAACATTTCACTTGGATATTAGCAAAGTTTACTGTAATCCGCGTTTGGGTAAGGGTCGTATTTATTTAAAGCCGTTAAATTTTGAATTTTCACTTGAATTCTGTTTCATACATTGCCTCATTGAAATGTTATTTTCCGTAAATTCCATCCGTGTTATCCCATGAATGTCTTTTTGCATGTGTTCATAGTTTGATATTGCAAGCACTTGCTATTTAAGTCTAAATATTTAGGTTTAAGTCTTCTAATAAATCTTAAAAATTCACGAAGGTCAGCTTATTTGACAACAACGTGCTAAGTATCTAAAGTTTAGGAGCCTTTATTGAAATTTTGCTCGCTGTGATTCTAAAATGGTAGATAGCTCTAGATTTGTCAAATATCGATTCACCTACTACATCGGTTTTTGAGCTAAGTATTTCGGATATCTACCATAGAACTTTCCAAATAACCTATTCTTTTCTGTGCTAAATACACCAAGCATTTATATCCCGGAGGTAGTTTATATGATAAATAATTAGAAACATTAGTAACTACTTCAGCTAGTTAAATTCACCCTAATTTTTTCTTATATTTGAAACCATTTGTTTTTCACCACAGTAGGGCTGAGTTTTACTATTCTTGAAGTGATTATTTACATCTTGTATGTTGAGAGTCCATAGAAATTTTCAAATAACTATTACCCGATAAATTCGCTTTAAAAATAAGTGCTAGTGTAGTGAACAAAACACTAGTTGGGGACAATCGAATGTATTTAAGCAAAGATTACAGACTATCTCAGTAAATTCTGATAACCAAACAATGAACAGTCAATTTGCAAATTAACATCCAATTGTTTCAATCTTCACTGTTTCTTCTCGAACTCCATTGCTCATGCATTTTCAAAACAATTGCGCTTCGTTTCAGTTCTTTCTTCATCGGTCTTCTGCGAAAATACATTCTATGCCTGACCCACACCATATACTACTTATATAGATATAAGCAGACCACACCACACTAGAAACTGTACACTGGCGTTTAGTGATGGGCGGATTTTTCACCTTATATATAATTTTCCCAACATTTTCGGTACTCCTGCACAATCATGTTTGCTATTTATTTTGTATCTTATAATGGCCTGTTAGTTGTATCGACTCCAGATAGTTACATGCCCTACTTATGCTATATTATCGCTTTTTGTAAACACTCCTCATACACATGATAGTCCCCATTTAATATGTCCACTAGTGATTGCCTTCAGTCTGTCCATTCGTACATGAATTGTAGATACTAAGTGAGTTGGTATTCTGGGTTTGTTCCTGCGGACTGTCTACTAGTTGTCGGTTTAAAACTGTAAAGGAAGAATGTTGTAGCTTGATCTCTGAGTTGTATCGTACATGCACTGTCAAGTGTCATGTCAACATTTTTATTATTAAATGAGGCGTTTTGATTTGTGCACTAGCATTATTCACGTCACCAAAGTAAGCAGATTATACAAAAAAGCGGTCAATATATTACCCATGTTGAAGAAAGTTACCTGTTTGTTCTACCTAAAATTATGACTACTGTCCTGGTGATTTATGTTACTAAGAAATATGGAAACACTATCTGCTAGAATAGTCTTGTTACTGTAAAAGCTGGCAGTACATCCTGTTTCCAAACTTTTTGTTCGTCACTTAACCTCCTAGAAGTCATTGTCAGTATATGAAAGCAATGTTGTTGTTTCACTTACTGAGTTTTCAATAAAATACTTTTCTTTCGTTTAGGTACTGAGCATACGCGAGTCGTTAACAGTTTGCGTCCACCCCTTCCAAATAATGATCCATTTCTTACACCGCGACCTATTCCTGGAGATCGTGTAGTTGTTTATGATGTATTTGCTGGGATTGGACCTTTCTCTATTCCTGCTAGTCGAGCAGGATGTCATGTGTTGGCGAATGATCTCAATCCTGATTCGTTTATTTGGCTTAAGAAAAATGTTGCCCAAAACTCATCGCGTAAACATCCTTTGAAAAATATTATCTGCTACAATATGGATGGACGTGAATTTATTCGTGAAGTTAGTCATAAATTAAATAAATTTGTGACAGTTACATAGTTTTATAGTTGAAATCATGAGTCAATAGAAGCTAGACCACCATGGAAAACCTGTAAGCACTGGATGGCCGTTTCATCCTATAATGGGACTCCTCAGCAGTGCGCATCCACGATCTCGCCGCGCGAGATTCGAACCTAAGGCCATGTCAGTCTCGCCCGCGAGCTCTTAACCTCTAGACCACTGAGCCGCCTAATTTCAACCAATCCACGAAATTAAGCAACCGTTCATCAATTGTCTTCAGTGAGTTACTATCTCACAACAGACCCGGTTGAATTACATAAACTGAGCATTTATATAGAAAATGAATTAATTGTCTTGGGTTTTGCTTATTGTTTGTTTAGTTTCCCTGTGCAATCACTATGAACTATAAATCAATGCTGACTATCTTCGTAAAAATGATTTTATGTATGGATTTACTATGAAAAGTTATGTTCATTAAATTGAAATGTTTCGCACATTACGCATCTACATTTTTTTGTAAATATTTAATATATGAACTTTACTAAATTGTAGGGAGATATTATGATAAGCTCTATGATATGCTCAATTAATATTATTATTGCTTCGTAATTGACTTGTCTAATGGTTATTACATGGGTTACTTGGTTTTTTAATATAATGTGTGGAAACTGTGTAATTGATGATTATAGCTACTCAAATGTCTAGTACTGTTCTTTCTAATATTCTTCAGCTCCAGTGTTTTAGATATATGATTATTACACATTTAAACAGTTGAGATCTTTCACAAGATGTGTTTACGATTCATCAAGATAAATGAAATGGTTTTCAAAAGTTATGAACTTTGTATTTCACTATTTTTGTCCCAATATGATGGATTTTTAGTTATGGTACATCACGATGAATATGATTTCGTGTTATTGTTCCGTACCTTTTTTTCTTTGAAATGAGGTTATCGTTCTCATCATTCAGTTAAGTATGTCTTAATACTTTCTAAGTTACGTTTACTGATATTTCTTTCTCGAAATCTGCTCTAAAGCTTGTTTGTTGGTTCCCTTATAGATAAGTGTCGTGATATTCTAACCCTATAGAATAGATCGTTTCACTATGAAGTTTATATTATTATTAAATGATAAAACTTTATTCATCACTCTGTTTCGTAACACCTAATTACTATTATGACCACTCAAACTGGACCAAAAAATCTGCATTACCACCTGTATGTGTAAATTTTTCTCAAACATCTATTAAGATAGAGCTCCCTTGAGAGAAAGATGTTAGATTATATGGTTTTTCAGACCAAATTCACTAGCTTTACTAACTTTTATTTCTCTGAGATCCAAGAATTTGTAGATATAAAATTGTGAGTCATTAAAAATAGGATTACACCTAATCAATATCTCAAGGTTTTCATGTTAGTTGCTATCTGATAACTACCATGATCAAATTTTAATTTAGGAAAAAACAAAAACCAAGTGTTTTTGTGTTTCATTTTTGTAGCTAGTATCGGTTAATAGTGGAAACTTCTTGCCTCCCTCCTCGATCATCTACGTTGTTCATATTCGGAAACTTCTCGAACTTAAATTGATGTTTTTTAAAAATTTAAATTATGTTTTGTATTGTCTTGTTTTATAACATCAATTATCAACTACTTGTTTCTTTCTTATATGCTAGATTCTTCTTCCGCACTACAGAAAATATGGAAGTTCTGACAAAATTGAATCAACTGATTGTGATTCCATTTCATCATCAATTGATCGTTTTGTAGTTATTATGAATCTTCCTCAATTGGCTATAGATTTTTTAGATGCATTTGTACCACCATTAAATTGTATAAATTCATCAAATATCATTACTGATAATAATAGTGATAATGTAACTGCTAATCTAAATGATTCATCTCCTATCCATCAAAAGTTCATTAAACCTTTATATATTTATTGTTATTGTTTTATGAGACGTAATATTGAATCAGAAGAAAATATAAAAATACGTTTAGCTAAAGCATTAAATACAAATATTACTGATTTATTTCAATTTGTTAATTCAACACCAAATAATGAAACAGTTAATAATAACTTGAATATTGAACAAACGAATGATCAATGTTTTATAATTAATTGGCATTATCGTTTTGTACGTAATGTTGCACCATTTAAAGATATGTATTGTGCTGAATTTGAATTATATTTACCAAAATTATGGTTATTTTATGATTATTCAAATCCAACAGTAAAACGTTCTCGAACTACTGAGAATGAACTAATTGAGTAAGAAACATCGAAATAATAGTCATAATAAGACATTAAGAAAAAAGAAGGAATGAATAAATAATTTCCTAATTTTGATCAATTGTAAATAATATTTTTAAATATTCTGAAGTATTTTTTTAAAGTTAAAAAACGGTTGCAATATAAATAAAATTTATTTAGATATGATGACTTGTATTGTTCTTCACTAGTTCTGTTTTCATTTCGTATATATGTAATGCTATGAAATCTACAGTGCTTTGGTTTTTCTGATCAAATTCATGATATTTCTCATCTCGTGTTTGTTCTATATTGTATATATTTCAACACTAAATTGCCCCCAAATCCTCTGGTACGGCTGGGTATGGGGACAGTCCGCCCTCCCTCTCGAAATGCTCTCACATGGTCACGCGTATATAGCCTCTGACAGGGAAGTCCTACTCACTGCCTTCTTGTAGCGAGGGTGTTGTTTACCGAAATGAGAGGACAAAAAGCGAATGTCCGGCGCTTTAACCGGGTTAGTGAACACGGAGAGTCCACCTAGGGGAGTTGGAAAACCCTGATTCAAAACCAATGGTGCACATGGGCTCCAGTATCCTGAAGGAATAAATGGCGTATGAACCAATTATTGGTCACCGGCTACCATGGGACTGCATCTCCTCACGATGTTCCATTGCCTTGTGGGTTAGACCTTTAGATCAAAGGCTCGGGGTGTGGCCGCTTAAGGAAACCTGCTTCGGTTTGGGCACCCGGGTAGTATCACAGCCCTCACACAAATCAAATGAGATTTGTGCGGCGCATATGTATTCGGTGCTGCTGTGTACCAATATTTTCATGTTTAAATAAATAAACATTGTAAATAAACTTTTATAAGGAAATCAGGGAAATTATATTGTTTGAGTTGAATAGAATAGTTGAGGTCTTCTTTCAGAAAATACGTTTTTATGTGATCGATATCCTCTGTTTAAATGATCAAATTATCCTGATTTCAAGTGGTTGTATTCTTTTGATTGAATGAAGTGGTACAGTTATTTTGAAAAGGATTCAATCAACTATATTGAAAAATACATTCTACTTGAATTATAAGCAACGATTTTTATTAATTAAATGATTATTCACCAAATATTACTCCATTTCTCAAAACATCTTGTTCTAAACAATTATAATCATCTATTAAAAACAACCGGCGAGTTGCGAAAATAGTTTATTGACTCGCAAATTATTGTATATTATGCCTAAAGCATATGTAAGCGACTGGCTATTTCCACCTTTTCAGTTAACCTAGCTAAGGAATCTGGTAGATTCTTTATGAAATTTGTTTCTTTGATCAAAGCAAGCAAAATAAGTTCTCTTGTTCAGATTCGTGAACTAAGCCTTGAGGTGCACATGTTTTTTAAAGCTAGTGGTAGTACTTAATTGATGGAGGCGAGATTCGAAACTGACTTTAGTAAAGAATGACTAGTTAAATAGAAAATAATATCTCATCTGAGATTTAACAAACACATTATTCCTATTTAATGTCTTACATCAACTCGGCGCCCAAATACTGTGAAACTATTCGCTCTAATGTAGACGAAAGTTCTTATATATAGAATGAGTCGTTGTTGGAAATATTTCTAATCTTCTATCATGTGAGATTGAAGTAAACTATTTTTCAGATAATTTTTATTACACTATGATGTAAAGTAAACCATTTAAAATGATGATACATTAATTCCCGAAACTCCCTTCGTAGGAGTACTCGCATGCTCATGAATCTCGTAGTTGGCACTTTTGTAATATTAGTATTGTTACATCCTAACGGAGAATAGATGAATACTAACAGGGAGATATTATTTATGGACTAGCGTTGCATACATTCTTATTGGATAATTATATATATATATAGTGTTGACTCTAGGCTGCTTGTGTTGGTCAACGCGTCATTGGTTTGGCACAGGGCCCAGTTCGGTGTTCTGATTGGCGATCTTGACACGTGATAATTGACGGACGATAGGGCATCACAGGTATAGTATATTCAAGAGTATATCTGTTTAGGTAAAGCTGAGTAATACATATACTATTGTTTATTCCATTCTGCATTTTGATTTCTAACCAAACTTGATATTACTTTCAGTAAAGTTATTTGAAAACTATCTCGCGAATACACTGCTTAAGTATCCTTTGCCGACGAATTTCCCAGACAAGTTGCTCAGCGGCTTCTTAGTTAATAGTATATAGAGATCTGAATAACTGCTAGACCAGCTTTGTTGTTTTGTCTGAGATTTGACATGTCATGTGCTTACAAGTCAGTGAAGTTATGGGTAAATGTGTAACTATTTTATATGTATGGACGATTTTTTCAATGACTGTTTTATTACTGCCCTATTTTCATAAGGTTTTGCTTTTCTATGTGAGGTTAATTAAAAAAGATAAATTTATTGAGAAGAGAGTGAAACTCAGCTTGCCTTACTGCTACTGGTGCTAATTCTGAAAATTTGTTCTGCAAGACGTCCAACTTGTTTATATACTCCGTATGGCGGTTTTACTAAGTCTTTCTTCGAGCCATTTAATCAGTAGTAGAGCTACATTTAAAGGACATCATGAGGGTTCTCCAAAGCTTATTGAATATAAACAACCCTTCATTTTCCTTAAATCTTGTTTTCGATCATCATTATTGAGCAATTTTTCCACAAGAAATGACCACAATTCAGGTTTCAACCTTAGAAATATCTTTGTTTATTTTTGAACTACTTACAAGTAGCGTAGTTTATTATGCAAACTTATTGTGATCTGAAATCATCGAGGGGCAAAGGTATAGTTGCTTTAGGTAAATATTGTTTCGAAATTTAATTTAAAATAACAGTAGCTGTCAATTGCAATCAGAGTCACTGCATAGGACAAACAAAATAAAGTCACTTCTCGAAGGTATCACAACTTAACTAATATTTAATTTACCCGCTTGTTTATCCAGACAAAATCGTTTACACAAATTAAAAGAATTGAGTTATGGGAATCACTATGTTTGTATCTCAGCTATCTGGGAAGTGATTAGTCCTAATAGGGGGTTAAAATGTCACGGAATACATATGGTCTTATTGTAAGCATATGCGGAACTCGTGGCTGCTTTCTATAAATCCATTTAATTTCTTCACTATATAACTGTGTCATAGCAACGTAATGCTATTTTGTATGTATGACAAACAGATACAATAATTTATTGTTGACAAAATTTTTTTATAATTTGAACAATTTCATGTCAAAATTCAATACGGAAATAAAGTTGATAAACATCAAATAAAATAAGACCACTCTAAAGTACTTATAATTTGATTGGTTATCCAATAGTAATAGTAGTATAGAGAACATTTTAGATTAGCCAAGAAATTTTTGAGTCAAATTACTTTATTGAGTTATTTGCCTGGATATGGATTTAGACAAAAAATAGTCAGTTGAATAATACTAGACAACTTAACTGATATAAGTATACTAGTATATGATGGATTTTGTGTAAAAATAATAATATTTACTTTAATTAATTACATTGTGAAATACCGATTGATAATAATTAAATGATCGTCAATATTTAGAACCGGAGGACTATTCGGTTAGTCACTTTTTATTTGTATGTGTTAGATACAGAAAAGGAAATTGTCTTAGTTCACATGAAAGAAAAGTATACTAGGTATTTATAATTGATGATGTAGACGGATCACTTCGGTCATCTCATACTTCACAGCTTCAATCTTAGAAAAAGATAATTCAGAATAATTATATATTTATGTTTTAGTATATTTGGGTTTTAGCTAATAATGGAATTCGGGACTTGTGTTTCATTTTATTGAAGACTCATTATTCGGATGTACCTGGATCTAACTGTTGATTTTTAGAGGGAAACTTAAACCCAGTACATATTACACCAAACGCCATATTGTTCATTAATATAGTGGGTTTCAGATTTCCACTAACTCGTCCAACGGCTATTATGTGTATTTTGTAAAACTTTTAATTATCTCGTTCATAAGAGTGCTTTTGACGTAAATAAGAACATCACATACAGCCATTCGTCTGTACTTGTTTTGAAAGTGATTATAAAATCGTCTAATATGTAACTTAGCATGAATAAAGTATATTTCTGGAGAACAAAGTTATAGTTGTCTGGTGTTTCATGATCAGAGTTTAAAGAATATCAAACACTAGTAACGCTTATTTTAAGCTGAATATATTTTCTTATGTCTATACAAGTAACACTTGACTTGTTGCTCCCCTAGGGTTACTGCCAGCCCCAAGCCTGAGTAAAGGATGAGGGTTGGATGTGCGGTTAGCAACCTTCCTAAAAAAAGCTAGTCAAAATAAACAATACAAATAAAGAAATACTGCGAATCATACATTTCTTACAAAACAAACGGCTATAATTGACAATTAGTTCGTCACCTAAGAAAGAAACACCTTTTAACTGTTAACCAAATTGGTTGTTATTGAATAATAGCATGGTTTCTTCATAGTGTATAACTGGTAGAAACAAATACCAGAAAAGCAGTTGCAATTATCAATGTGAATTATTAATAATTATCAACGCTTGAACAAATATTCTATGAAATTGGTTTTACTGATGTTTTTTTGGTTGTGATCGTTTATTTCACTTTATGCTAAGATGCATATTTTCCAACTACTGATTATTGTGTATACACATTATTGTCAATAGACAATGTGCTGTTTTGAATTAACAAAATAAAGTGGCTAGATATTATGAACCTCAAAATATTCTTCTCACAGCTTGATCGGAGTTTTTCGAATGTGAACTTGATCGATATTTTGTTGTTGTTGAGATATCAGTCAGATGTGATAAAGTAACTTATTAGAGTTGTCTTTTTTCCCATTCATTCTAACTTAGTATTACATAACACGGTTCATATCCTGTATATATGAATGTATGTTAAGATAAAGTTTGTTTAATATCACTTAAAATTAAGGATATATATTTATAGTATAATGATTAATTATATAATTGAGATCATGAGTCAATTGAAGCTAGACCACCATGGAAAACCTGGAAACACTAGACGGCCGTTTTGTCCTAGTGTGGGACTCCTCAACAGTGCGCATCCACGGTCTCACCTCGCGAGATTCGAACCCAGGACCTACCAGTCTCGCGCCAGAGCACTTAGCCGATAGACCACTGAGCCGGCATCCGACGACGTTAATGTCTAACTTCAACCAATCCACGAAATTGAGCAACCATTTACCAATGTCTTTAGTGAGTTGATATCTCCCAACAAAGGAGTCCCACTATAGGATGAAACGGCCGTCAAGCGCTTCCAGGTTTTCCATGGTGATCTAGCTTCAATTGAGTCATGATCTAAACTTAATAAAATTACTAAAATCTTCACAAAACCCCATTTTGATAATTAATTATATACTCAATTATTATTTAATAACTTATAAATAAATTCAAAGTAGAAAACTTATTTTTAAACGACAATTTACATGAACTATAAATGTACATTTACATATATATATTTGATTGCTTTATAATTTTCTCACAGTCTTAATGGCGTCATTATACAATAAAGGATTCATGATTTAGTTTCATTTAAATCATATTAAATACCAAAAAAAAATTACGATAAAACAATTTTCATTCATTTTTTGTCTTATTGAATGTAGACGAGAGAAAAAAATGGAATGAAACATGTAATTTCTTCCACCATCTTTAACACATGAAATCTGATCATATCAATGATATTACCTATATAAGTTATATGTATATGTGAAGAGAAAGATGGAGAGTTTAGAGGAATGGGAGATATCAACAATAACAGCAACAACAAAAAAGGGGGGGAAGGATAATACAGACAATATTGGTTAAGGTAATTTATATTATCAACAACAAACTAGAAAGAAAGAGATAGATATAAAAGCAATTAAATAATTAATATGATAAAAATGTTGTATCCATTCAAACACCTGATTATATCAGTGTACCCATATTTATCGAATGAATAATAATAATAATAATAATAATATACGGATAAATGTTTTCATGGGAAAAAAGAAACTTCCGAAGTATAATTATTAGAATACTATTAGATAAACATCTAAACTGTATACTTATAAATTAATTCTAATTTAGCATAGTTAAGAAAAAAAGAATAAGTATAATGTTTATAGTGTAACATCTCGATAGTTTGAGTGTTTCCAGATGTGATAAAATAAATCATCCTAATTTCCATATGATTATGTTATTTTTCTGTTTTTGTAGAAAGAAAAAGACGAGTTAAAATACTTTACAAACAAACAGATTTATCTCATTACAGTTGTTCTTCAGACAAATTTTTTTTCTTCTTTTGAAGGTATCATTTAAATTTAAACGTAAGTATTCAGATCTTAGCTCAATATATAAAAAGAATATATTAATAATTTGGATATTATTTTATGATGATCTAAATTTGGATTAATGTTAATTTGATTATTTATTCTCTGAAGAAGTGGCTCACACTGAGTCACGAAACGTCAGAAAATCTAATTTTTCTATTCATTGGTATATCACAAATATATTAATTTATTTAGAAGAAATAATTAGTTTTTGTTTAATTAAACTTTGTTGATATAATAAATTAAAAGTTAGAAATTTCGTTAGTGGAAGATAAAATCCGACTCACACGTCCTCGTCGTGCCTCGTGGATCATGAGGACCATCCCATGTACTAACGTGAGCGGCAATGTAGGTGGTGGAGATTGGCCTAATCAACCACTCTACCTGTACCCGCAAATGATTATGAATGCTACAAATAGTTATTGCATAACTATTGAAGATTCAAAAAGGATGGTAAAGTTGAACCGCCCCCCCCCCGGAAAAAAATTGAATAAGAGTGTTATGTAATGGTTCTGCGTAAGCAGTGCAAAAACAGATACCCCCCCCGGTAGTTGTACCGTGCTTCGATGTAGCACTCCCCTCCAGTAAACAAAAGTTTTACAGTGCATCAAAGCTATTACTTATCAAATGTTGTTTGATTTATTTCGGTAGTTTGTTGTTTACAGTTTAACTCACAAAATTTTGAAGTCAAACTCTATATTAATGCTTTCTTTTATAGATAATGGTTTCAAAATGAGGCAAGATTTTCGTTCTATGTCACATTCTCAGGTGAAGTTTACTGTTGAATATATTCGTATAAATTTAATTTATATTGAAGATAACGAAGGACAAAAGTACCAGTTCGTTACAAAGAGAAGTTTCCATAATTTATAGTTCTTAAAGCAAATACAATCTCACTAAATATTCTGAAGAGTTGGTATAAAATAAAAAATAATGTATAGTGAACCCGAACTTAGTTAGGAAAAAACAATTTATTTTTTAGTACAAAATTATAGAATATCTTTATAAAATATGAAAACCATAGATGAAATACTTCATTTACAAATCTTTCGTCATTTTTCCTTTACATTCTGTATGATTCTTTCAATTCACAATTTCTTTCTATGGCCCATTCTGTTTTTTTTCAATTCCGTCTTCTTAGCTTTCTGCTGCTATGGATTCCATTTTTGATTAATGTCACACACTACTTACATCGAAAGACATAAGTAGCATACACCATAGATGTACCATAATATTATTTTCTGAATTTTCCTAATCAAAACTCGCAGTCATACGTATCAAATCATTAGTTTCAAACGTCATTTTCAACAAAGTTTGTCAGAGTTCAACGATTTTCGTCTTTCGATATTTTACCTCGAAATAAATTAAACATTATAATTTTTTAAAAAATTATTTATTTACGACCAAAAATATAGTCTAAAATGTTAGTGAGCAATATATCTAAATGTTATATTTTCTCTTTAAAGTATATCTTTAAAATGAATAAATAGTAAGGGAGTATTAAATCAAGATTATTTGACTAGTGATACACAAAGTGTAGTGAACAAGAACACGAGTGGAGACAAGAGAATGTATTTGACACGAAAATATTACAGACTATCTCATTAAAGTCTGACAACCATACAGTAAACAGTTAATTTGCGAAATAACAATCAATGGTCTCAATCTTGACCATTCCTTCTGCAAATATCAATTCACCGTCTCCGATTAACATATATAACATATATACATATATAAACTCATTAAAACTGTATTTAAACATAAATACAATGAACAGAAATTGAAATTTGTTCGCTTAACTGATTTCAGTCATTTTCATTCCAAACTGTCCAAGACAAGAAACTATCTTTCCAATTTAAAGGTGACACGGAAATATTATTGTATACCTTCAATGTTTTTATCTTAAATCTAATCATTGATGTCTTTTTCAAACAAATATACGTATTGGATTTTCAGAGCCTTAAAATGGATTATGGAGATAAACAAAAGTTTTAATTTGTAATTGATCTTAAAACTGAAAGTAACTGTAAACAAACAACTAAATCATTTAAAGCAAATAGTGCCTTTGATAACTTTAGATAGTGTCTTCTTATTACACTATCGAAACTAAATCATAACTGCTTATCTTTTTGCTCTTTGATTAACAACCAAAATGAAGCTTCTGTGAATGGGATACGAATTACTATTAGGACTTTATATTACTGCCACAGAAATACAGTGGTTCTCCAAATGATACTGATCCTTCATGAAAACCATCGTAATATACAAAGTTTTGTGAGACAAATCAGCGTTATCGATAAATGAATTCAAATGAATCAAAAATTTAAAAGTTCAAATAGATGAAATATTTCAATTTTTGTATCGATATCAACTACCATATAAACTATCTCAAAGAAAATTAAGATGATTTATTCTAGACAATATCCTGAAATACTCTATTTTATGTTGTCTGTAAATGGTAAATTAATTTTCAATCAAACGGACTACTTCAACTTCTTACTATATTCAATGTTAGCTAAATTTTTATATTCTATTCATTACAATTTATTACGGTACAATATTTGTTCTGAAACCAATATCAATGAATGCACATATTGGAATGATTTTAGTGGGAGAAGAAATCAGGAAGAAGCGCTAGAATTGGATAGGACACACATTGACGAAAGCACCCAGTTTCGTCACAAGGCAATCCCTCACATGGAATCCTGAAGGTCAAAGGAGGAGAGGAAGACCAAAAAACACATTACGCCGAGAAATGGAAACAGACATGAGAATAATGAACAGCAGTTGGATAGAATTAGAAAAGAAGGCCCAGGACACAGTGGGTTGGAGTACGCTGGTTGGCGGCCCATATTTCATTGAGAGTAACAGGCGTAAATAAGTAAGTAATTTTAAAGATTACTTATGTATTAGATATTTAGATTATAATAAACAACTAAAACCATCAGTTCTTTTAAATTTTAAATTTTAGCCTCCATCAAATTGTGATCTGTTCATTTTAAAAAAGGTTCAAATAAAATATTTATATATTGTTTGTTGTGAAATAAAATTATTGGAGGTTTGTTTAAACAAACTATTATCATGTAATTAGATTATTAGGCAACACTAAACTGAATTTAATTTGGTGATTTTTTCTTAAAAATAAAATTAGCATACTGTATGATTAATTATTGTTGTGAAAAATTAGTACACACAATTACATGGGAGATAAAAAATGTGAAAGTAAATATTTACAAAGCATTTGAGAAAATATATCATATTTTTCAAAGTTGAAATCATGAGTCAATAGAAGCTAGACCACCATGGAAAACCTGGAAGCACTGAACGGCCGTTTCATCCTATAATGGGACTCCTCAGCAGTGCGCATCCACGATCTCGCCGCGCGAGATTCGAACTCAGGACCTACCAGTCTCTAGAGTTCTAGTGGGAGGCAGTGGCCAGTGGAGTTCAACCACGTCTGTTGTGAGACAGGAACTCACTGAAGACAATTGGTGAATGGTTGCTCAACTTCGTGGATCAGTTGAAGTTAGACATTAACACCGTTGGATGCCAGCTCAGTGGTCTATCGGTTAAGGGCTTCGGCTCGAGACTGGTAGCTCCTGGGTTCGAATCTCGAGAGGTGGGACCGTGGATGCGCACTGTTGAGGAGTCCCATAATAGGACGAAACGGCCGTCTAGTGTTTCCAGGTTTTCCATGGTGGTCTAGCTTCAATTGACTCATGATTTCAACTTTGAAAAATACAGAAATCTCCACAAATCCCCTTCTAAATATATCATAATTTAAAGTTAATCACTTTTCATTAGAAGTACTGTAGTGTGGCCTACTTATATCCATATAAGTAGTATGTGGTGATAGTCAGACATAGAATGTATTTTGATAGAAGATCGATAAGGAAAGAACAGAAATGAAGCTTAATTGGTAAGAAAATGTATGAACAATGGAATCAGAGAAGATGAACTGTTATTTACAGAAGATACAGTTAAGATTGAGACAATTGATTGTTATTTTGCAAATTAACTGTTTATTGTGTGGTTGTCAGAATTTAGTGAGATAGTCTGTAATTTGTGTTCAAGTACATTCGATCGTCCCCAATCGTGTTCTGTTCACTACAGTACTACAGATCCAATAAGATAATTAAAAAAACTTTTCACTTATAATTCTATCAAATTTTTCCGAATTATTTTGTCTATTTAAAACAAGAATATAGGCTCATTTTGGTATTCTAAAAAAGGAGCTTATTTTTAAGTGAGAGTGACGTATTGTCTGTTAATATTATGTGGTTTTTAATGAATTATTGTTGTATCGATTGCCTCTGTGCCCAGTTTATCTATATGATGTTATATAAGACCGCCTATCAGAGAACAGTGATTTTATCGATCTGATCTAATGTACACAAAAGCCGTATGAGCAGTCTTGAGTATCTATCAGTCCTGCCTTCTGTCTAGCCCAGCCAGCTTAGTTCAGAACACCAATAACAGCCTCTGCAATATTAATCATTTTTCTTAAACATACTGGGTTTATATGCCAAACAAACTGACCACATCATACCATAAAATAGAAAATATCATTTGTACAATATTCAAGCAAGTGTGGCTGTGAATAGGGAAAACAGTAATCAATAGATTGGGTATAACTCAAGAATGGTAAATCGTATAATAATAGTCTATAGGTCAAAATAAAGCTTATAATAAGAGGAACACGAATAAAATGGAAAAGATTTATCATATCGGTCCATAAATTATTCTCAAAGTTACCATTCATAAATCTCCACGGGATATAACTATTATGATATTTTTTAATTTTTCAAACTGAGCCATTGCAAAGAATATTCTTTGGTACACCTACAAGACGAGGTCAAATCTCTTGACATTGTTTTAAGGAAAAATGATATTTGTACCAAAAATCATTCGAAATGACATCTGAAATCGAAATCAGTTTTCTGTCTAAGGTGGTTGGGGAATTCAATTCAGCTTATTTCCAGATATGGAACACATGAAATATCCCTCTGAAATTTCCTCAGGAATAAGTGGTATGCTTCAGCATTCAGTAACGAATTTCAACGACTCATTTAGAATTTAAAATCATGTGAACTATAGTTTTATAATTAGGAAAATTTCGCATTTTAGATATTTGGTTTATCGGGTTGAATTAAATTCATGATCAAGTGCATCCATATATAAAATTCAGTTATCCGAAATTAAATTTTCATCTCAACGATGCAAATACAGAGTTAGTATTTAGTATTGGGTTAAGTGAAATTAATAGTTATTACAGCATACCTTTGAAAAATTGTGCGATTGCACTGATCTCATTAGTAAAGTGGTATTATAATCATTGTTGATTAAGTAAATGTTTGGTTCACAAACAAATGATACATATCACTATCTAAATTAAAAATATTTTTATATGTTCTGTATACTTGATTCACTCATACCAAGTGACTCTTTAATTAGAATGATTTCTCATTTTTGCTTTACACTAACGGATAGCAGTATTTCTAAAGTAAACTAATAACTCTCTACAATTATATGAACCCCTATTTCTGGTGTTTTTTTCATCATATTGTATTACATAATCTGATTTGTTTATCCTTTATATACATTCTTCCGTCCTTAGATTTTATCTTCTTAATCTTCTTGATTAGATGACATTAGATTATGCTTGACTTTGTTAATTTTAGTAAAAATTTTAGAAGAATCTGTATGACTCTTGAAGTTCAATGTTATATCAAACTAAACTCCTTTGAATAAAACCGAAACAACAAATCAGGTGGAATAATATGAGTCTTGTGGTTTCCGATCAGCTGTTTACAGACAAGTATCTATTAAGATGCAACATTAATATGTGACAAAATGTGAAGAATTAGAATACC